ATCATGTGCACGCCAAGCAATGACGACCGGAAACAATGGAAAATGTGACAAAATCTAATTTCTATTCTCTTATTTCAGTTGTATACCTGATTTTCTAAGTAGGTATTAATTTCTGACTTATACTTCATTGGTGGGAAGTTGAAAAAACAAACAAACATATTATAACTTTGCATTTTATTTTTTTATGAAGCATTGTTCTTCTATTTCAGTGTTTTTGAATAGCTGAAGGAATATTCTTTGAATCGGAAGATTTAAATGCTTTCGATGTCTCCTAAAATGTTCGTTAAATTATGGCTTTGTTCTGCTTTTTTTATTTTCTGTCAACAGTTTACCAACGACACACTTGCCATTGAGAGTAAATAATTGCGATCAAGGGAGACAAAAATGAAGAAAGAATAAAATGAATGTTCAGTTTGAAGCGAAAAAAACTCACCCTCATTAAATAATATACTGCAATGCATTAAATAAGCAAATGCAAGTGTATAAAAATTCATAATTTTTGAGACCTGGACCCTATTTTACAAACAGTGAGACTATGAAATAATCTTTTTATTTGAAATTGTTTTTGAAAACTTCTCACTGTTTGCAAAGTAAGGCACAGGTTCAATTACATAGTTTACGAGATTTTCATGGTTTAACAGCAATAAAGCAGTGAAATAATAAGTAAAAAAACATAGTCAAATAAAAACGTCTGCTTCAGAAACTTTGATTGGCCACAAGAGTACTGTAAAATTTACATTAACAACCGTAAAAAAATGTACAGCGGCCACATTTGTGAACGAGAAGCAAACCAGAAGAAACGATTATATCACAGAATCTTTATCAACATTTTCGAGACTTCGTCAAGATACCTCTCAAAATGACCAAATTTTTATAGATGTTTTCCGAAAAATGGTCACAAACAGCTTTTACAGAACCATCGGCCACCGTTCTATTAAATTAGAACACAACAATTGCAAAGGGAACAAAATGGAATTTTTAAATGACAATCCGCAAACGAAAAAGCGCAAATAATAAATTATAATAAACTAATCATGCGTTGGTTTATGAATCAATTGTGTACTTTTGCGGTTCTTCGTCATTATATATATCATAGACGTTTTATTGACAACTTTTCTAAACATATTATTTGTATTATGATTTTGAACAGGAAAACATTAATAATCTCACCATAAGCATACTAAAACTTCAGAACTGTGTCGAGCATTTTCATTTCATATTTTGAGTCACTCTTTGTAATGTATATCTCCGAATGAATAATTAATTATGCATATCCTTCAACCGCATATATTTGATATGAACATTTTTTTTGGTTCCAAAACACTTCAAAACGTTCAAAAGTATTATTAGTTCAAAAATCGTATGACAATTCAAAAACTGATACATTCACATTTGAATTTTAAAAAAAGTTTTTTTTTCGCTTTGCTCTTTAATTTTGCATTTTCCGATGCTAGAATTTAACAATGCGTCTATTTTTTTTCGGTTCAATAGTTTCAATCGAATAAAAAACTCATATATTTAGGATGAAGGGGTGGACTTTTCGAAATAAAAAAAACTCCCAAAAAGCGTATATAGGTTCATTTTTGAGGGTTTTATTAATTTAGATTCGTTCATAAGAATATGTGTTGACTTTTCCACGTGTTTTTTGGCGTCGACGAGGGTGTTAAATAAATCACATGAATGCCTGACTATGTAACAATATCATTATGTGTTTTAGGTGTATAATGACAATTTGGCCAACGAAAATATGATATGGTTTGTCGATGTGATCAAAAATGTGATTTAAACAATTTCATTTGAAATGAAGTGAAAATATTAGCGCAGACATTTCAGTAATAATGCAAGAGGATTGCAGAGATTGTATGTTCAATATTTAGAAAGTGTTATAATTGGCAAACGAGCACGAATGACAAATTCGTTTAATGTCATATATTTTTGCCTGATTACAATATTATTATAATGTTGTGCCGTTGTTGTAACGATTCTTGTATCGCAACTAAAGTATGCTGACAATGCGGTACGAGCATAGTAATGAAGAGTGTATGCTTAATTACAAAATTTACTGTAAAATCGAAATAGTTTGGGCAGAAGGTTTGTAGTGTTGGTCCATCCAATATTCGGTTTGATGGAAATAACGAAATCAAAATTTTATAATTCGATGTGCAGACGTAATCAGGAAAATCATGGCTTTGAATCTTATAAAATTGTAATTTAATGGCATCGAATGGTCATCGCTCGGAATGGTAAAGCTTCACATCGTGTGGCTTTGTATTTCACATAGTTTGCAGTGAATAACATAGTTGTGATAGAATTTACAAAAATCATTCTCATGCAAATTTCAATCAAATTGAATACACAATTTGAATGGACTTGCCGGCTTGTTTGATCATTTTTCGAAAATTCTTTTTCAAATTTTTGCTCCGTTGCACGTGGACATGGAGATGGAGATAGAAGAAGTGATTTTAAAATCCTCTATTTACCATGCATCAATGCCATCATTCGATGCACTGACACATTGCATTTTAAACGAAAAGCGATCAAATGCCACAAATGTCACTCACGCGAATTTTGTAAACAAAAACTTTACCAAACACATGAATATATCCATCGCAGTGAATAAGTATCTAATGGTATTTTGTATCGCAATATATATTTTTTCCATTTACAGTATGCTGGCCATAGTGAACGTGTGTGTGTGCAACGCATTTTGCGGTGATTGCATAAAACGTCGATATTGTGAGACACACCAAATTTCATTCTGGCCATTTTCTCGATGTTCAATTTAAGTGTCTCCCACACTCACACTCCACAAATATCTATATATATGAGACTTAAAGTGGTGAAAAAAATAACAACACTGCAATCAAATCTACGGTTGAGCAATACAAAAAAAAAATTGAAGTACAAAAACGAAACACAAAAACTTGTACATGGTTTTTCACGAAAAGCCCATCAAATCGATGGTACACTTGCATACGAAATGGGATGATATTGCATTTATTTATTCCCGTCCACCAATAAACGCGTGTTACTATTGCGACAGAAAAATAAACGAATTACGTGCAATTCACTCACTCTTTCTGCTTTCTGGAAAAAACAACCGCAAAAACAGTATCAGTATTTGGTTTTAAAATTTGCATTTTGCTTACGACACATAAAAGTGCCATACTTTGCCATTGCTACTGCACACACTTCGATATGTGCATATATTTCGAATTTGTTTTCTATATATATATTTTTTTTCGCTTGGTATCTGGACAGTTTAAAACTAAATTTCAACATTAGGCTTGTCTTTTGTAGTTTTTTTTTTGTTAAATGAAATTGAAAGAGCAGCATATCAATTCAGCCAATGTAAATAGAAAATTCAGATTGAATTTAAAAACACAAAATAACCAAGCATCGGCGTCTGTAATGCTTTTTTTAGACGCCTTCTAGATTGATCGAATCGAATTTGTTTGCCGCGAAACGAAGTGATTGATTTCTCACTTATCCATCCATCAGCCTCAGCGAATTTCTAAACTGTCGTAACAACCCAGAATGCCACATAAAAACTAGCAAAATCTCACAATCACGACAACCAAAATGCAAAGTGATTTTCAGTACAGCTTTCTATTTGTCTAACATGTCTAACATGTCAATCATTGTCCTAATTTGTTTAGATTGAAATGGGGCTTGATTTTATTTCGAAACATATTATTTGTTGAATATGTTAAGGAGTCGCGTTATTTTTATTTTAACAAAAAATCAACGATTAGTTTGATTGAAATGTGAACGACGGTTTATATATTCTAATGGCAGCTGAATTAAAAATAAAAAAAACTGTAACTGAATGTATTCAGTTCGCTTTAGCGGAAGCGAAATAGTCATGATTGAGACTACCTCAGAACGGCCCAGATATAAATTTATATCGAAAATTCGTGGCGTCTTAGTTGGATCGTGATAAGTTGCTCGCACAAGTTTGTAATTCACAGCTCCCCGCAGCAGAATGTTTTTGTTTTTTTCAGAGAATTATCCAATGAATAATTAAAATCGTACATACATTCGATGGGAAAAAATTACAATGTAGCCAATTTAAAATGACAGCATATTTGGTGAATATATCTACATACAGTTTGTTTAATAAGATAAAAGGGCAACAGCAAGGCATTAAATATGTTTATATGTTATGAAATTTGACGCACATTCACTCCATAATTTGTATGATAGTGTTAAATGTTGCAATTGTCACATCTCGTGCAATAAGAGTCAACCCTTTCGCTATCGCACACATTCACCCTCTCTATGTCGCACTCTCTCTCTCTCTTTATCTCTTTACGTCACTGATTCACTCTTCTCTCTTGAGCAATCGCTCATCATCTCCGCTCACACATTTTATAATCATAATAACAATGCCAATAATTATTCGTTTCGTGTATAGGTTGTCTCTCTCGCCAAAAAATGAGAATTGTTCCTTTATTATGATTGCGTACATGCATAATTAACTAACTAATTATGAAGCGAAATTAAGGTTTTCTCATAAAATCCGGTGTACATACATTTGACTCAACAACAACAGCATCATCACTGTATACAAAGCGACAACTTAAACCGAATAGCAACGGCAAAAAATCACAATAAAGGTTTGTTCGCGTGTGTTCTTTCTTTTTTCGCTTCAGATACTTTTTGACAAAAATTAAAACCGAAAAAGGATTACATTCATGTGATTCATGTATGCACATCGTAATACACAACTACGCACACACCGTACACAGCTCAACTTGCTACATACCATATGAACATCATCAGCGAAACGCTGCTCGTTCAGATTACCTTTTCTTTTTAATCATGGTGAAAAGTTTCAACGTTCATTTCAAAACGATATTATCTTGGAAAGAAGAGAGAGTGGAAACATTTAATTATCCCATGAAATTGTGTTAGTTTTTAATGAAGTTTTTTTTTCTCAGTTCAATTTACACCTATCATCAACAGCCACTGAATCCAAAATATAAAAGACGATGAGATGAGATTTTTGGACACTTTTATTCTCAATACGATCTATTCATTCTCTTTAGACAATGTAAAACAACTAAAATTTACGATTTATTCATTTTTTTAACAGCAATTTTCCTTTTGGCTTCAATTTACTGTCCAATAACTGTTTTCGTTCCTCTTCGGTGGCACGCAATTTATTTTGATACAATTCTTTGGCAAAATCAACTTCGTAGAGGCCTTTAACAATCTTATCGGCAATATCACGTTGACGATCCAATCGGGCCTTTTGTCGTACCTACGAATACATTTTTTCAATATGATTAGATTCATCAGATTAAATCGATTTTTATTTCGTCTTGAAAATAGTTGAAACGAAATAATTCGAAACTTCGAATTCGAACTTACGCCTAATGGAGTGGGTCGTCCGTCCATGTATGTGTAATCAGGTAAATCTGTTAATGGGCCGGATGATGTTGGATTCTTTGGCAAACGGCGATTTCGTCTCCAAGAAATAGACATTTGAGCACCGGTCACATGAATTCCTCTACTCCCCACATCTAAAAACATTAAATTCCAACGTAAATGAATAAAAAAAACCCATGATTGAATAAAAACCATTCAAATCACTTACTTTCAATCAGCTGGAGATTGGAAAATTTCGAAAGAATAGCTGGCAATCGATTCATTTTTAAATTTTTCTGCGGAAATCTGTTCAACTTGGTTATATTTTCGGTGTAACAACGAGAACTGTCATTCAAGTCAATGTGCGAGCAGAGAGAAAAAGAGCCTGACTTTTGGTGTTGTCTGATGTAGCCCAATTTATTTTGCTCTCTGAGTGTTATCTTGATATTGCTATAAGTACAAGTGCATACATCATTTATCGTTATTCATTCATGGATTTCACACAAAAACATCAATTATGAAGGCAACATTAATAAACAACGTGAAAAACGGTTAGTTGCCACTAACAAAAGAAAATCACAAGTACTTTGTAAATAATAAACACTTCACAGCTTTTTTTTCCTGAGAGGGTGTAATTTGCGTACACACGCGACATTGTATTAATGGATGAATTCAAATATTTGCCCATGTTTTATTGTTTTTTTTTTTTATCGTTTTACATTTTTGAACATTGTGTCAATCAATCAAAAGAAAAAATGAGTTATTCATAATGTTATTGGCAGGAATGAAAAAAAGAAGGCATTACAGCAACCACAAGATTATGACATGCTTAAAAATCATTTATATATGAGGGAGAAAGAGTGCAAATCTCATCATTTCCATTCGTAGGTAATTAAATGTAAACAAAACTCTTTTGTTGAGTAATTTTCCGCATAATTATTTGCTGGGGCGGATGTGGCAATGATTATGACTCTGATTTTTTTTAAAAAGAAAATAATTCATAAAATTAGATCCGACTCAAAACCACCTAGTCCAGAAAAACGTCGCTTCAACTTTTTACCTCATCTTCTGCGGTCACATGCATTCAGCTTTCTAAAATAACTTTTCAGAGAGCAAAAAAAACACAATTTTGCTACACATCTCATTGTACTTTATCTCTATCTATTGTTTGAATACGTATTAAAAACAATACAATATTGTTTGGGGAGAAAACGAGCCGCGTACACAGTAATCCATTTTGAAGCAAGGTAGTAACGCGTGTAAGCATGTCGCATATAAGAGAAATGAATTTATGAATATTTCATGGCTCCTAATCGAAATTAGTCAAAACGAAAAAGGGTTATTCAAATTAACTTTCATAATAAACAAATGCTACTGCACGGCACATTCTTTGTCATCTCTCTCTCTCTTTTGCGTCGCTCTCTCACTCTCTGTTCATTCATTTCAGGAGGTGGCATTGCTTTATGCAGTAGGTAGGATACAGGCAAAATTTAATAGGTCGACATTTTGATGACACCGAATCGTATTTTTGTGTGTGTGTGTGTGTGCACATCCAATGAGGGATCATAACATTTAGATTGCTGGGTAATCATTATTGCTGAAAATTGTATTATTCAGATTTATACATATGGCAACGAAAGTCATAACCACCTAAGCCATTCATCAGAAAGTGCACGCACAATCCCTGTGTGTATGTATCTCGTTTTGATTTAGAGAAGAGTGAGCATGAGAGTCTATATGAAAACAATGCGAATGACACATACAAAAATAGCATATGATAAGGATTGTTTTAACAAATTACATCGCTAATGAAGTTTGAATAGTTGACTTTTGTTCGTTTGCTTGCAATGCTGATTTTTAAACCAACACACATTATTATTGTCATACGTGCGCACTGAATTCAAATTAAATATTTGTAATATGCGGATGAGATTATGATTCAAACAAATCGTATTGTCGCAATTCAATGATTCTTCTACTATTAAACAAATCGTATCAGCGAACGAATTTTTTGAAAGAGAGATGGAGTATTATCGAAATGGATCTAGTTGATTTTAATCATAATGATACCGTTTTGTTCGGAATTTTTCTTCCGACTTTAACTCTCGACTCCTTTTTATGATGTGATTTCTTACATCTTCAGATGTTTTTTGAAGATAAGTAGTCGTCAAGTTTATAGTCCAATTACTAAAATTTGGAAATAGAGAAACAGTGGACCCTCATTCCAATTGATAATTGAAAAAATGATAAAAAAAAATTTCAACGTACTTAATAATTTCAGCTAGAATTTCCAATTTCATCCATAAAAAATCAATTAATGGACCTTGATATCTTTGAAGAATGAAGAATTGTGTAAAAAACCGGAACATCAAATGTTTGTATTTGAAAAAATTGCATCCAACACAAAAAATAATTCGTTAAAAGGCTTTTCGGGCTAACAATCTATTCATAGGTCTCTGTGCAGCTATGGCAACACTATGCGTGTCAATGCTAATCAGAATATATAAATTTACAAACGCCGATAATAATTGGAATTCAAATTTTAACTAAATTTTGAGGATTTTAAGGTGATTCGACTGATATTAAATGGCAAGACATCATCCAGATTTGATTTTCTGCCGTAAACAACCAGGCGTGGGTAAGTTATCGTTCAAAATACAAGAAATATCCATATATGAAGGGAATTCATACATTTTTATGCCATACAACACTTATGCAGTGAACAACACTTTTGTTTCTAGATTGATAAGTGCATTTATTTTTATTTCGATAAGATAATTGTGTATTTCTTTGCAGCGATTGGTCGTCTGTGCGAAAAATGCGATGGCAAATGTGTAGTTTGCGATTCATACGTTCGACCGTGCACATTAGTTCGTATTTGTGATGAATGCAACTATGGTTCATATCAAGGAAGATGTGTGATTTGTGGCGGTCCTGGGGTTTCCGATGCTTACTACTGCAAGGAGTGCACCATTCAAGAAAGAGATGTAATCATTTTCCGCTAATTTTATTTTAAATTCAACTATTTCAATTGAAACTCGATTTTTATTATTCATCATTCACAGCGAGAAGGTTGTCCAAAGATTGTCAATTTAGGCAGTTCCAAAACGGACTTGTTTTACGAGCGGAAAAAATATGGTTTCAAACAAAAATGATCGATCTAGCGCGGATTCAGCTTTGATTTTAAGTTTGTTATCGCATCTTCAAGTTAAATTTCATTGTAATTGATAAGTAACAACAGGTTTCATCGAAGCAAATACTTCATTGGCTTCAAAATGACTGACATGAATAAATGTTCACATAAAAAGCAAGAATAAATTGATGAAATTAAAAGCATTTCTACTTTATTTAATGCAAGGCGATTTTGTTTTGTAAAAAAATCCTTTCTGCATGATTTTTGTGCGGTTCATTTGTTTATAAACATTGAATCGCCTTTATGGTGTGCATATGGCAACCCTTGGCAACGAAATGACATTTTATGTGTCAAACACTTTCTTTATTACTCCTTTGGACGCCGTCGATTGCTATTTTTCCGAAAATATTGTTTAGAAAAAGCTACAATTGAGTTGATTTCTCGATTAAATTAATTGAAACAATATGGCAAAACATCATCCAGATTTGATTTTCTGCCGTAAACAACCAGGTGTTGGTAAGTATCACGAGAAACACATTTTCATGAAATATAGGTTATACGTTCTGAAACGTTGTGTTTATATTCCGTCGCCTGTTCTAGTTTTATCAATATTTTGATTTTGTTTTGTTTCAGCCATCGGTCGTCTGTGCGAAAAAGATGATGGAAAATGTGTGATTTGCGATTCATACGTTCGTCCGTGCACATTAGTTCGTATTTGCGATGAATGCAATTATGGTTCATACCAAGGTAGATGCGTTATTTGCGGTGGTCCCGGTGTTTCGGATGCATATTATTGCAAGGAGTGCACCATTCTTGAAAAAGATGTAAGTATTTCGGCCCCGTTTTTCTTCACCCTTCACTTTAATTAAATCGCCATTTCTTTATTTACAGAGAGACGGTTGCCCAAAGATCGTTAACCTCGGTAGTTCGAAAACAGATTTATTCTACGAACGCAAAAAGTATGGATTCAAACAAAGATGATGTGTGTACACCAACTGCGCCATATACCCTCTTATCGAAGTTCAATTCCTTTTTTCGCTCTCATAATTCCAACGTAAATTCTAATTTCAATTCGAACACAATTTTAGTAAATCTCATAAAATTCAATAGTTGAAAATAATGTTTATTCATGAATTTTCAAAAAAAAAAAAAACATTTGAAAAAATAAAATCCTTATAGAAACAACAAAGAGAAATGACTGAAAAGAAAAGTGTGTTTTTATTTCATTTTCTTTTGCTTGAGTAGATGTTTTCGCATGGATTGTTGTTTTTCCTTGAACGATTTTTTGACCTTTGATCGTGCCTTTACGCGCATCATACCAAAGTTTTTCTTCTTTTTCTTTTCATTGTTTGTCTTTGAACAATGAATATTCTTTCGTTTGTCTCTGTAACCATATTTCTCACGATCCTCACGACCTCGCATCACCGTTTCCAGACGCGATGCCTTGTCCGTTCGTCGTTTCTTATAAATCATTTCAATGTCATCCAATTTGACATATTCCGTTTGTTCTGATTCAAGCGGCCGTTTGCGTGCATTTGACACGTGCTTTTTGATAATTTGTGCATCGATACGTTTGAAGTCTTCGTCCGTGAAAATGCGAGTCAATGCTATTTCTTGGGCGGCTTGTTTTTCGTCTAGTACTTTTACCGATTTTTCTGTGGATCCATTTTCAACAGCCGTTCCATTTGAAGTGGCCTTTGATTTCTTCTGGACCTTCGGCGATTTTTTTGTTGGCTTTTCACTGGCATGATTTGCTTCAGTTTCAGACTCGGCATCACTCTCTTCGTCTTCAACTTCATCTTCTACGTCGCTTTCTTCCTCGCCGCTTTCGTCTGCTTCATCGTCGACTTCTTCGTCTTCTACATCACTGCCCGCTTCTTCATTATCACCGGACTCATCATCGCTGTTGCTGTCGCTGTCGGTGTTTATGTTTATCTCATCACCACTTTCGTTGACATCGACCCAACTATCCGAATCTGAGTCGTCATCATCTTTAACCGATACCGATTTGGCCGACTTCAACAGTGCTTCAGCACCTAAAAACAAACAATAACAACACCATAGTAAATCGATTTAAACAAAAATAAAAATGTTTTACGTACCAGGTATATTATCAAAAGCGGCTACGGCTCCATACTGTTTCGGTTTCATTTCGGCCTGTGCTTCTGATGTACGTCCACGATCTTTTTTGTGAAGCAATGCTGGAATTTGTTCACGATAAAGTGTAATCAGTGATCGAGCGGCCATCATTACACTCTTTTCTTTGTATGCTTTGTACAACACCAAATCTCGTAATAAATCTTCGCCCATTGCCAACGGGCAACGACTACAAATCGCTCGTACGGCATTCAAACCAATGGCCATGACATCGGTGGAATTTCGTTCGGTGATGAAATTATTGGCAATTGTTTTTAAAATCGGTTCAATCACGTCGCCGGGCACCAGTTCATGTGATGCTTGTGCGGCAAACTGTAAAACACGTGTGACTTGACGTTGATGTGGTTGCAAAAAACGTGTTACATATGGATAAAATGAGAATAAAAAGAGCTCATGAATACCAATCAATCGTGATATCACATCCAAATGCATCAATTTCACTTCGAAGCGTTCGTTTTGACTTTGCAATTGTTTAAACAAATTCTCGGCCATCCCTTGTGGATTGTGAATCAAATGTACGGCAGAAAAATTAAACGATGCCACTGCTGTTTTCTTCTTCTTTACTTTTGTCACTTGCTTCTTGATATTAGCCAATTGCTTTTGACGCTTTTTTGTCTTTTTATTGACACGATTCGCCAGTATGGCACCTTTCAAATCCGGCTCATTGTCACTGTCCGAATCGTCGGAATTCTTTTCATCCGGATCACTGCCCAAAAAGAATTTCAACGAAGCAACCATGACTTTTGTTATCTTTGAAAAGCATCCAACATTTGCGATAACATTCACCGTTTTTGTATCGTTCCAAATGTTCTTTTTGTACAATTCAATCATGATGTCAATGGACATTTTGGCCGCTTTTGGATTTGAATCTTTCAACATTGTGTACATGAAATTCTGTAGTGTGGAATTCAGTTTCATGTCTTTGTGTTTGGCGTTCATGTTTTTGATGTCAGTGATAATGTGATTTTCTAAAAATGAACGCAACGATTTATCGGGACATCGCAACAATTGAAAGAATAACTCAAGCAAATCCAAGGCTGGGATCAAATTTTTGTTACGTAGCAAAATCAATGCACGACAAAAACTGTTTCGCATGTTTTGGTCGAGAGTTGTCGATTGGGTTTTCAGCAAATCGACCAGTTGCTGGGGAAATGTGATCAATTCTTCGACGTAGCATTGTGCCACCTAAAACAAGAAGTTTGGTTATGTTTACATTGTGCAATTGTCTTTGATTTAAATCGGATATTTTTATGTGTTTTGTAAGCATACCTGAGCGATAAACATCACCAATTCATCTAAACTTTTATTCTCCTGTCCTGGATTCAGGCGAAATACCTCCAATAAACTCAAATAGTGATTGTATTGTTGCATAAACTCTTCTCTGTACGAAGTTGGATCTCGTTTTATCAAATTTTGCAACTGTGGCAAATTATCCGGTAGTTGATTGTTGTGCCGGACCATTTTGAAACCTTTTTGTGGATTTTTATTCACCAAAAATTCGAAGAAAACACGTGCAATTTACACGTGAATTGATTTTGTTTTCGTTTATTTTTGTGGAATGGTAGAAAAACACATGGGTTCAATGTGACAGCTGTCACATAAAAGAACGTAATTTTTACCGTAATTTTGTTGGGTTGGCATCACTGTCCATTTACCTTATAGTTTGACATTTCACGCAAACAAAACAATGCTAATCTATTAACATGCAGAATATTTATTTGTATACAAAAAAAAAATGAATGAAATGTGTGTTTTAAAATAAAATGTTCATAATCTCTTTTTTGGCCCGTTTCTTATCTTCTGGTGTCATTTTTTTCAGCGTCGCAACTACGAGTTCACCGAATATGATATCTTCGCACCTTTCTGTTGTATCTAAATTCGAACCAAACTTTTTGCTCACCGTCAACATGTCTTTGTTATCAGTGTTTATCGGTTTCTTATTCGCGGTGTTCAACAGCGTCTTATTTTCGGAGGTATTCATTGGTATCTTATAACTTTTAATGGGCTCGTCTGGGATTATGCCGGTATTTAAAATGCGTGATGGTGTAGGTGATTGAATGAACAATAATTTCGGCACTGATATTGAATCAGCCGTTACGGTTTCATTGATATCACAGCTATCTAACATTTCTTGGGTAACACAAAACGACTCAATTCTTGGTCGCTTCAAATCATCGAAATTCATAGTCTGTGCATCATTCAAATTGATCGCAAAAAATTCAAGATACTTGGCCAATTTGTGCAACGGAATATTGTCATTATGAAAATGATTGTAAAGGATTATTTTCTTATGTTCGTTTCGAATTGTCTTCCAACGCCTTTTCAACCATGATTCTGAAAATAAACACAATTAAACTCTTTTCAAATTGAACAGAGCACAATTTATTCGTATTTGAACTGAATAAAAGAAGTAAATCTTACTTTGAATGCCCATAATCTTCTGTATCTCGTCCCATAATTCTTCATCCAAAGCGGAATATGCATCTTTATAGTACAGTGATGGCCGTTCCTTTACATGATTTATTAATAAAATATTCAGTGTATCGTCAATTTCTAAATCGTTTTGAAAATCCTCCATCGTATCATTAGAATATTTCTCACACTTTATCCGCTTCGGTGTTTCCACACAAACAACATACTGAGCACTCTTCGTCAGCTGAGTTTTGACAGTTGTACACAAACATGAAGAAAAGGCGCGTACATTGTGTGACGACATATTATTTTCGACGTAGTTGTGTGAATATACAAAACAATAGAACAAAACATCAACACTTTGACAGTTTGGCATTGAACCAAAAAATGAACATAATCGTTTCGAATGTGAAGATGAGCCCACAGTCTTAATAGTTTCAGTCGTGCGGTTGGTTGGAAACTCATATTTTCCGCGTTCTTTAATTTTCGTTTTTGAGTGAAAACTTTTATCAACTCGGAAATGTAATATTTCGCTGTGTGTGGGTGACTTTATCAAATTAAGCAACTGCCACTGTTAGTGATACTGAAATAAGAAGTTAAAAAATTGATATACAATAAATATGTCGATAACAGCGAAACAAGTGTGCCTAATTACGGCATTAATTGCTCTTATCATTTACTTTTACGGAATTCTTGTGACGATTACATCAGTTGAGAAAAATGAATGCAAAATGACGTATATGTTCGAATATCCGCAATTTGTGGTAAGTGACTGAAAATTTGATTTTTCGTTGACTTCTCTGATTTATCCGGATTTATCAACAATGTTTGGAAATTAGATTTTTTGTGCCAAGCATCGAATATTTTTCTATTTGATTACGCTCATTTGGATTATTTTTTGTTTGTTTGATCAAATGGACTTTGAGATTATGTTCTGAACAGAAAAATATGTATCGATATTATTAACTCAATTCGTCGTCAATTTTATGTCATTTCAAAACATGGCAATATTCCAAAATGATGTTCAATTTTTCTCTAATTTCAAAGAAATGTCTAATAGCAGAAAATATTGTCGCATCAATAGTGATGCGATTTCGTTTTTAAATATTACTTCAAATTCAGTTCGGAATCATTGATTTGTCTCTCTGTTTGTTCAATGGCAAGGCATACTTGCGTGCTATATTCAACCAATGTCCATTAACTTAAATTTGACCGATTTGGACGATTCTTCATCGTTGACCAAGATAACAAACACTTGCTCCAAAAAAAGGACATGGATCGATATTTTAAAATTGATGGGGACATTTCGTTTGAAACATAAAATGAGTTTCTCTGTGCTTGAGACTCAAAAAGCATGTCTGTTGCCGTCCAATTAAAATTTCATATTTTTTTGGGTCTCGAACCATTTCAATAGCACATTTTTCTATCGAAGAAAATGTTCGTTTTCCATTTGTCGAGAAACAATGACAAAAGTACACAGAGTGATGAGGACGAACTATTAATTCTTTCATCATTAATTCATTGGTGAGAATAGGCACACATGTTGATTATAGGTTTTGATGTGAGTGTACGCTTTGTGTGATGGATAAATGTTGGTCATTAAATATTCAAATAGTAAAATTACAAACTACGATTTGATGTATTATGAGGATTTTAACCAAAACAAATAACAATTTATGGAGATTAATCGCGCACCAATAAACATATACCGTACATCATTCATACGACACAATTCGAATAATCAAATAACTGTAAAATATATATCATTTCTCTCCCATTTAACAGAAAATTCATTTTCGTGAAAACGAAAAATTTCCGAAATACAATTTATTCGCCTATTCGGAGGGACGATTGACGGAAGCTGCGAGAAATATGCAATTCAATGGAGCGCCCGTGATTTTCGTGCCCGGCAATGCGGGCTCGTACAAACAGGCCCGTTCATTTGCATCGGTAGCGTTACGTAAAGGCATCGAACAAAATTGGCTCAAACATCTGGACTATTTTACAGGTAATTTCCCATTGATTCACAGAGTTTATTGGTTTAGAAGCCTTGAACTATTTTCGAAAGTGAAAATATTGTTGAACCATTCGAAAATTACATTATCGAATGATTTAACCCTATTGTCTGTAGTTGACTACGACGAGGAATATTCAGCATTGTTTGGAGGTGTTTTGGACGATCAGAGCATATATTTGGAATTGTGTATAAAAGCTGTTTTGAATTTGTACAAGGATTTACCTAATCCACCGACGAGTGTATCGATTGTGGCCCATTCAATGGTAATTTAACAAACGCAAATATTGATTTTTCGCATTGAAATTCAATGTTATTTCATTTATAATTCGTTTAAGGGTGGAAAAGTCGCACAAAGCGTGTTAATGAATCGTGAAACGGCGAAACTCGTGAATACAGTGATTGCAATTGCTTCGCCAATCGATAAGCCCGTGGTTAATATTGACTTCTATATGGAGGCATTTTATCGTAAATCAAACAAAATTTGGCTTGACCATCGAGCACCAAATCCAAATGCAATCAACAATTTAACCAGCACCTGTTGCAATGCCAGCAATTTCATTGAATTCGATTCAAGTACAATTGAATCGAGCGAAATCAGTGCGAATCAATCAAAGCGATATTTTCTCAATGATATATTATTCATAACGGTTGGCGGTGGAAGTCGAGATATTTTAGTACCATCAGGATTGACCACTTCACAATTCAGCGACATCCATGTGATGTCAAGTTGCATGCCTGGGGTGTGGTTGACCACCGATCATTTGGCGAGCGTTTGGTGTCTTCAACAAGTGTTGGTCATTAATCGATTTTTATACAGTATCATTTTACCGGTTTCACATCGACATCGCACGCACGACAATGTTTTCGTTAGCGACAAATCCATTCGACTCTCTAATGCAAAGCATTATCTCACGGTGAGTTATTATTTATATTGTTTTTCATTTACAAATTGATTTTGATCCATTTTTATTTCAATATCTTAATTATGGCTTTGATTTATCGAAAATTAAAATGTCATTATACGAAAATCAATCATGTCTCAATTTTCTTTTCACACAGCAAGAAACAATTCGGCCGAAAAACAAGCACGATGTAAATCTAATCAAAAATATCGATCAAATTGGCGAATGGGTCGAGGATAATCGAAGGGTTTTCTTTCAACAATTTCAAAGTGGATTGAATCAAACATATATTCAAATGATTCCATTAAATCGCTTTGAACACTATCAGGTTGAGCCGTTTACTCCAAATTATTTATTGATAACCACTTCATTATTAACGAATATATTTCTTTTGTTTTTCAATAGATTCTAAATGTGGAAGCAATCAATGTCGACATTGATGATTGGGTCTTTGGTTGTAGTGCCGTTGAAATTCATGAACATCAACGATATTGGTGAGATTTTTTTTGCTTTGCAAACATTGGTTGTGTATAAATTGGAACCAATTGGGACCCTTCAAAAATCTGTCCATCCGAAACTTTCAGACTTTTGTGTAAATTCTTTTCAAGATGATAAATGAAAAAATCGATCTGGAGCACACGAATCCAAGAATTTATCATTTTTGTTCTTTTTTCTTTTATTTTAATTTTAGTTCGATTGGACACTCGCTAACCCATTATGTCAAGAAACTTCCATCAAAGCGTCACAGTCGCCGAGTTTTAAAACTTGATTTACATAAAATTCAGGACGATCATCCGGAGTGGACGCATATAATTTTGACTTTGTTGCCAACCAAAGAGCCGCTTCAAGTAATAAATTATGAATTCACCGAACAACAATTCTTTTTTTAACGAAATGTTTGCTTTCTCTATAGATTAACGTTGACATTCATGCGGTTGCTGAACGACAGCTTACATATGAAATGCCATCTTGGTATTCATATCAAACGCATCAAATCACCGATCGAACAATGTTGGGTGCGGTTGGTTATCGAATCAACTTCCCTGGATTAGATGAATCGTATCAGTCCGTTCAGTTGCACATTCAAGCGCATTGTCAAAAGCCAAAATATCATATTGTGGCTAAAGTATGTGTACCGTGGACAAGAGGTTTTGAGCGCTATCATTACTTCACGTGAGTGTGGAACAAAATGTTTCACATAAACTCGACAAAAAAATGACATTTTATTATCATTACAGAGAAGAATTGCAGACACCATTCTATGTCCATACGCCAATAACAAGACCTGCTGGATACAATACAACACTATTTCCGCTTTCAGTTGATTTACACTTGGATCCAAATTGTTACTATACAATTTCGGCAACGAATTCGTTCGGTCAGACAGCGTCGAGAATTTTCTTAGAGTTTTCTCACTGGTTACCTGCGCATATTGTGGCAATATTGCTGTTGGCTTTTAAATATCAAATCAAAATCACACCCGATAAGGAAATTTTCAAATGTTCATCGTTGAATTCGGCTATGTTGGCTGGTCAAACATTTTTCATTATCACAGCATCTCGTTTAGCCGTTCACGTAATTAAATGGAGTAAAACACTACCCGATCCCGATCAATTCAAACATTCAGTCGTTATATCGGTTATAATTCATGGCGCTGCATTGGCTACATTGAACCTCATAACGTATGGCTTATGGGTTTCGATTGCACTTTGTGGAAATGTGGCCCATCAATTTCTCTTCAAATTAACACAATGGCCAATTTCATCGGGCTTGGTGTTGCCGGCGATACAAAAGTTTCCAATCACCGTTGGTTTTGTACTTGTATCAATGGCATGTGGTTCATGCGGTGGTTTGGCTTTAATTTGTGCCGTCCTTATGTATTTTATTATTCTATCGAAAATGTACGAAGATTATTTAGAGGAATTTGTTTTCAAAACGGCCGCTCTCATAACGGAAAAATTATTTGGCAAAAAACTCACCACCGAACCAAACACTCAAAATAATGTTAATATTACAACGCCAGCATTGACTGGACAGGAAACTGCTCAAGAGAAACAATTGAATGACAAAAGCAATAAAAATGACAAAAACACAGCCACCAAGGAAGAAAGTACAAGTGAAAACGATGCAAAGAAGAGTCATGAGAATGAAAGTGAATCGAAAAAGGTTCAAAACGACGAAACAAAAGATAAGAAAAAATTGAAAAAACAAAAAGGTAAAAAGGTCGAATTTGTGAAGACAAGTGATGATGACAAAACAAAAACACAATCAAGTGATGAACCATCAACATCGACAGAACCACTGTTGCCAAAGTCAAAGTCCGACTTAGACATTAAAGAGGGAGCCGTAGTTGCGTCTAGTTCACAAGAAAGTTTCGAAGTTTTATACAATCAATTAGATCCAAGCGATGTAGCACTGTTCAGCCGGCAAAATGAACCGGAAGAATTAACGGAGGAAGAACGAAAAGAAATGGAAAAATCTGAAGAAGGTAAGCCTTAGCATTTCTTTTCCATTTTGAATAGAAAAAACCTAAATTTGAATGTCAATTGATGTTTAGAACTGGAAAAATTGATCTCACAAATGGTCGAGCGGCAAAAAGTCGAAGAAGACAAACGAAATAAAGAAATGAAAATCGCCCGTGCCGAATATGATGATGTACCAGATGGCCTGAGTGCGATTAATTTTCACATGACGCTGTTTTTACTTTTATGTGTGTTGGCATTACTGAATATACCAAGTGTACTTGTTTGGGCTCGTAATTATAAATACGGTGAAAAAATTCTACAACATGATCCATCATATTTTCCTGCAATTGCATCGATTGCATCGCTGTCGGTCATTTGGCAATTACCAACACCGAGAAATGTGTAAGTGGATCGTAAAAGTCACAAATTGCACGATTTTACATCTATTTTTTATTAAATTACAATTTTTTTCGCAACAGCCATGGCTACGAACCGATGTCTAGCTTATGCTACGTAATGGCAATCATTGCAGTGCTCTATTGTCAGGATTCATTGTATCGTTTAAACGCCATCATTTCATCGATGTTTATCATAATTGCACTTCAACAATTATTCATGCCAAAATTGCTGGTGAAAAACGAACCAAAAGACGAAAATGTTATCGATGTGGACTTATTGGAACGGGTTCGTCGCTTGCGTGAAGACATGTCCACATCGGAACTAAAAGCACCACCACTCAATAAAGAACCAAGCAGCCTGCCTGCCGGCCAGTAAGCTTAAATCGTTTATGCGGAGCTGTTCGGAAACTTCAAATAGTCAAACTATATCAAGACAAGTATTAATCAGTGATTTAGTTAAATCTTTCATGGCAGCGTCAAACATTAGCTACTTTTTTTTAAATACACATTTTTTTTTATTGATGTCGTAAAAATTTAATTTATTTACCATAGATGGTAATACAATGAATTCGATATCTTATAGTCATGACAAATTTTTGGATAATATATATATTACTAACTAAGATATTTATGTATTTGCACCAAAATTTGAAAGAATGGATGAATGGAATTTTGTGAAAATGTTGAACAAACCATTATTTTATTCAGACTTGTTTCTTCTTCTTTAAATTAATCGTAATTAGTTACATGACCATTTGATTTAAGTATTCTTATTTGTTGCCATTTGAATTTTGAAGGAATTTCTATTAAAGATAGTATGAGTGCCTTAAGAAATTCAAAAATTGATATTACAAATTAAGTGAAATCGATCAAAATTCATTTAATCAGGAATAATTTTTCTTTGTTTTTGTAATTGCGTCGTATGCTAGGAAATGATGAGATAATACTAGAGATAAATATCATGTGTACACTGTACAGATGTGAAATGTCTTTAAAGATATTTTTGTGGTATTGAAAATATCGTGAAAAATTCCTGATCCAAATTTTATCTTAAAGTTATTGATGCCAACTTCAGATTCTTCTTGTTTTGGCCACATTTTGTTTAATACTTAGAACAAAAGTTGGTTTTAATTTAAATTTTTGGAGAAATACACAGATTAATTAGTTGCAAAATGATTGTCAATATATACTTAAGAAAATCCTTAAACAAATACATAATAAATTTAGTAAAATTACACTAAAAATTGCATGTAAATGTGTACAATGTTGTAATAAATGTTACAAATTAAAAAAAAAATCAGTATGGTTTATCCTTATGGTGTGTTGTTTTGGTCCTACGAATTTTTCGTATTTTGCATTCGCAGTTCGATGGGTATGTGTAATCAAATGCTTCAGGTTGTCCGTTTTCGTCGAGTCCAAGCAATCTGGCTTGTGTATACTCTTGAGCACAATAATGATCGGCATATGTACATGAGCAGTTTTTTTTCGGTTCGTTTTGGCATAATTCAATGTATAACGGTTGCTCATATCTCGGTGTATTCACTACAAAATGCCATTTTCTTCGGTTGATCTCCACCATTTGTGGACGAACGACACGTCTGGCACTGTTGCACATCTCATCCTGTATATTGAAGTTCATTCGCCTGCCGAGCGAAAGAAAGTAATTTTTGAGTGTGTCATTTTGTTCCAGCATTCGATGAACATAATTGGTGAGATGTGCTTGATTGGTGACATTTTCGCAGAAATGCATGCTCGTATTTATACATGGAACATTTCGGGCATCGATATGAAAATCAAGTTGTGTCTCTTTCATACTATCTTCATAATCGAATTCGTTCGAATTTTCGCCACTCTGATCTGGAAATTCGGCTGGCACCCAACTTGCACCAAATATACAATTAACGGACAATAGTAATACCGTCAGTCGAACGAACATTATGGTTTTCGTGGAACATACAACGGTTCGCTTGTTTGTTTGTACTATTTTTTGAAGTCTCTCACTATTTTGGGATCGATGCACTTGTTTGCCGGCTTTTGTGATAACACACATATGGCAATATAAAAAGAATTTTAAATTATTGTTTTTTTTTTTTCACGAAAACATTTGCAATTTATTTTTTCGATTTGCCCTTTACGATCTAACAAACAATATATATTTTTTTCGACACAAAGCTTATTTCTTTCGATCTTAAATGAAATTAACCGATTTCGAGCGACACTTTTACTTTTTTGTTATTTCGTCCATTTGGCATGAACTTTGTAACAATACTAAAGTCATCAACATAATTGACAAACAACTGTCAAAATATGTCAATGTCTGATGTCAATTGATTTTTAGGTTATGTTTATTTTGCTATGGTCACATTATTCGTATTTCAATAAGATTTTATTTGGAATTTTGAGTTTTTTAATTTTTTTTCTTCATTTTTGCGTGCCAGTTTAAGAAAATGTTTACGCTGTGGAGAAAATTGGATTTGACCAAAACTATTCCACCGTTGGCCAATTGTTCACCAAATAGTTTGAGAAATTTTAACCAGATTAAAGTGGTTACCAATAATGGTATGTATGTGTATGATGAAATGTTATACATTCTTTATGAAATTGTTCCATTGTGACTAGTTTTTATTTCTTCTTTTGCCACATAATAAATAAATTCGGCGAAACTGTTGTTCCTTTACTTTTAATGCGTCATTTTTGCTTATTAAGCTATATTTGTATGTGAATTTTATTTCAGATTCAGTCGCGGTGACAAAAGAGCCGGCAGATGCTCTTGAAACAACATTCAAGTCGGCAACACATCCAATGCAAGTATTGTCTACGCTACCATCGAGCCCATCCGAATTTCGTACAATGTCAGGCGAAACCGTTTTTCGTGCACTACAAACAATTGCCGTGCTGCAGCGAACGAACAAAGACACAGTAAAATGTGATTTCATTACGTCACATCCAAGATTTGAGCAACTATGCCGACGCCTAAAACGTTGTAGTACAATGTTTACACCCGACGAATTAGTTAAATCCTTTCGATATCTGTGCTCATTGGACGTGCCAACCAACAGTGAAATTTCATTGATTCTCTTGAATTTGATACGGCATGAAATCAATCACATATCGGTCGATATGATTATTTATTTGGATTATATATTAAGTCAAACGGAATGCCGTTCCGAATTACAAAGAGCAATACAAACAGCACTGCCCATCGTGTTGGACCTACAAATACCCCAACAAATCGACAAACACAGTACTGTAAAGGAATTGGTCAGCATTTTAAATTATTTAGCCAGCCACAAGCAAATGAACCAAAACTATCATAAAATGACCGATATTTGTAAATTACTTGTTGATAAAAGTGAAGAGATCACACCAGACGATGCCATCAATATAATTTATCATTTGTGTGCAATTGACCAGTTTCATTTGACGAATTGCATTAAATTGATGGCAACCAGCATACGACGCATTATGGATCAGATCACAGACATTGACATAAATAATCTACAAAAATTGCTGAATCGCATGGTGGCTGCAACAGCCAATCACTTTTCACCGTTTCAATTTCATATGCATAGTCTATTAAAAATGCTCACCGAACGCATTTCACAAGAAGACCTGGGCTTGCCGGCAGCTTTGGCTCTACAGAGAACCATTAAAAATATTGTAAGCTATTTGTTCATCGACTTTTTTTGGATGAACCTAATAAATTCAATTTTCTCCAACTTTTTTCCTAGAGTTTCCAAAGTGTCCCATTATTGAAATATATTGGTGATAAATTGACATCAAATGTGGCTAGTTGTCGAACAATGAATTCATTTGATGTATTTACAATCGTTCAGGCCTTTTCCAACAATTGTTACATCCCCAAAGAACCTGATAGCAATGGCAATGTTTGGTCCGATCAAATATTGCCGGAGATTTTGGCAAATAAACATTTAGCTCAGATTGAGGCCAACAATGCTACTTGGATGCAATTCACACTGCAACTGATGATACTTGGCCATTTCAACAAAGAATTGATTTCACGTGTTCTAAGTGAATCGTATTTGCAAGCGTACCTAAATCGAAAGGATCTCTCCACGTTGGACTTGAACAAAATTCTAATTTTGTATCAAACAGTATCGATGCAAAAAGACATCGAGCTAACTGGTGTTGATACGAAAACAATATCCAGCATTTGCAAAACATACGTCGACAAAATACCACCGTGTAAAATACAATCGGATCTAATCGATCATTTTGGAGATGAAATTGTCTTGACAAATGTTCGAACAAAGCATATGCATATAATCAATACATTATTGAAAGTAAACAGAGAAACCGGACAAGTGGGACACTTTGCCAACGAAATTAGGCGTGATATAGACGGGTTTATAGCATTGGAAGACGTGCCATGCAATGACAACGAAATGATGTAAGTTTTACCATATTTTCACCGATAAAAATAAAGATTCATTCAAAATTCATTCAATATACAATGATTTGCTTCAATTTTATCTTGCAACAGATTTTGCATCGATTCACTGAAACGTCATCATCTATTTTCAAATATGACGGCGAGAAAATTTTTAATTGGCATTCAAAACATCAATGAAGAATCGAAGTTGGGCGCGTTTCGATTACGATCAAAACAACTCGAAGAGTTGGGCATTGAAGTATGCGAAATCAACTATCGTCGATATGAAGCACTGAGAATGTCACATAAAGCCGCTTATATTGTAGAAAACATTAAAAACCATGCGATAAAACGAAACCACAACATGGAGTAAAGATTGAATTAATTTAAGTGAAAAAAGATTTGATTGAGATAAACATATGGAAATAAAAATTATGAATATATATTTGTTGACTGAATTTGAACTATAGTTTTATTGTTATGCATACATGTTAGAAGTTTTATGACCCGTTTTATGTTTTTCTAAGCTAAAAACGGAATAAAATAAAATAAAAACGAATTTTATGTTGAAAATCATAAAAAATGTGCTTTAATATCGTCATATTGGCCTTAACATTGGTAATACATTGATCGTACATTTATGTTAAAAAGTATTTATAAAAATTCTATAAAATGAGTTCAATTAAGACACCCTTCCCCACCCCTTTGCCATTTTAGACTGGATAAAAATGAAAATTTCAAGATTTTAAGTGAAAAATTGGTCTTTGTTGTACCTAAACAATTCACTTATTTGTGAAACCACCCCTCCCCCTGAAATCTCTAAGTTTGTACATATATATAAATCTATTGCTTTATATATACTTATGGTCGTCTGTTGACCAAAGATCTTACAAAAAACTTGAGATTTTTAATACAATAAACAAGAACTACCTAACCATAAGATCTATACATCTTTCAGACCTGTAATTGTATTTGGTCATTCGTTCTGTATATTTTAGCGGCCATTCCATGAAAATAATTGGATGCAGTTTTTGCATTATGGTAAATAAGTTTCTCTGCTGTTTCTGCGCAAAGCGAAAACAATCCATTATGTGAATCAATCGTACTTGCTGACGGAAAATATGTGTTTTTTAATCGTTCAATTAATATTTTTCGCATTTCGGGTTTGATTGAATCGCGCCAAGACCCATTTACTATTTGTCTTGGATTCCGTGTAGGTGACAGAAAAGAAACAGACGATGTAGACGACGTAGTCGATGCAGACGATGTACCTGGTTCAGTGGTTTGAATGTTGTTCGGATTGATGTTGACTGGAGAATGTATCACTGTTCGTCGTTTGCTTGGTTTTGCGGTGCTGTCATCAATGGACACAGCCGTTTCATCAATCACTTCATTCGAGGGTCCCGACATCTTTACAAATTGTGTTTCCAATTTCCTTTTGACATCTTTGTTTGGCATCAATAGGTCATTGATTGATCGATAATTTGTTTTTGGAACACTCCCTCCAATCGCTAGATTTGGATGATTTTGCTGAGACTCTCTCTTTTTTTCGGTCTGAATTAATCGATTTTGTGATTGGATGTTGGTATTTTTCATCTGGATAAGAGTGAAAAAATTAATTTATCCATCAAACTATATAATGTGTAAATAGATAAAAATATTATAACGCCATAAAGTAGCGATTTATCAAATTAATGTGATTTTAAAATCTAGATTTGTGCATCAATTACCTGTAGTGACTGTTGCATTTGTATTCCTGCACTGCACGTCGGCGTTTGAACATATGATCTATTTTCTTGTAAAGTTGAACTGTTTGCGTTGCTATTGCTAGACAAACCGGCATATTGATTGTAAACATTGACATTGCTCTAAGAAACATTCCAATTTTTATTTAGATCAATATAAAAAAAATCGACTTTTTGTATAAATTACCTTTTGCATTTGTGCCATTTGATATCCAGCGTTGCTGGTCGTGGGATTCATTGAACTTCCCATTGTATAACACTGTCTTCCTGATGATTGACAGCCAGCAGCGTTTGCCATATATTGCACATTTAATTTTGCCGACATAGACATAAAACTATTCATACGAAAGAAAAAAGTGATCAATCACCATCAAACGACTAAAACAAAGACAAAACTGTCGACATACCTTTGAGCAAGCTCCTTCTGTAAATATCTTGGTCTGATAACCTGACACCAAGGAATTCGGCATCCTATCTCCTCACAACGTTTTGCATGTTTATCGTAAATGTTGAGGAGTTGACGGCAAATTCGACATAATCTTATATTCACTTCACAAGTTTCGATGTGATATCTTTTGGTTTTCATAACGGAACACCCATATCGGGCACAAGTATTATCTCTACAAAAATATGAATGAAGAACGGATGCGCTCAATTCAATAAAGTTTAATCTATTCTGTCCAGTTACGCTGTCAAGATATGCGTCATATGCGGTTCTTGGTTTCGGTATCGAGTAGCCTCCGTTTCCATTCTGATTGAATGGCTGAAACATTTTATTTGCGGATAACAACACTGTAAGAAATGTTTTATTTAAAAATCAGTCGAGAAAATCGTTGCAATTGCATATATTGATTGATTAAAAAAAAAAATGAATGCTTTACATACCAATTGATATTAAATACAAAATACAACAACGTTATGACTACCACTTTGTATAGTTCAATCGTCAAGCCAGCTCGATTGATTCTTATTATTTTATTTATAACTATACTTGGTAAATAGTGATTGTTTTTAGAAGGAAATTGTGCTCGGACTTGATTCCTGTTTATTGGTATTGTAAATGACTTGAATTAAACTGGAAATTTGTATGATATGTAATGTTGCAGGAATGCACAATTTTTCGATCAAAATAAACGTGTTCTACAATGGACATTCGTGCAACATGAAATACTGTTTTTTTCTCGCTTCGAGTTGTGCTCGTTCTCTGTGTTAACGTTAACAGTTTCAAAATGGCAATCAACAGATGGCGCTGTTGTACGTCTGCGTATGTACTTGAACTGGCAACACTAAACTGGAATAATATTTAAATTTTTATAGCAATCTCACTGCTATAAAGAAACATTTTCGCAAAAGTATTTTTCTGAATGAAAACATAAAAATAAAATAAAATTATCACAAAACAAATACATTTTGAAAAATGTTCTTAATTTTTTTTAGTTAATGATTAACTTTACCAAAAGTCGATTGTATCTTTCCTTGTATTTTTTTTAACTCGAATTAAAGTACTTACTTTTAGCAATTTTATTCTATTCAATAGTTCTTCTCGTTGCAATTTATTTTGCTAAAAAAGGAATATTTCAATGATTATAGAAGGAATTGTTGGAAATGCCGAAAAGAATACATTCCAATGCATAGGAATCCATAATTTTTAAAATAAATACTGAAAAAATGAAAGAAGTCAAATGAATTTAATTTGAATTTATACTTTTATTGGAACAAAGCTTTGTAAGAAACTTTTTGAAAACATTTCTATAAACTTTTTTTGAAAAATAAAATGTTAATCCCTTTTAAAGTTTTTCATACATACCCGTATAAACGAAAAAAAGAACAGAATTTGGCGATACAATTTGATAAATAGTTTTTCACAGCTTTTTTATTTGATTTCTTTTTTTATTTTAGAGAATTATTACAATTTTAAAAAATGGATTTGAATCGGAGACACAGAATGAAGAAGACGGTAAGCTTTTACTTTCTAGTTTTTTATCGAGATAAAGCTCCGTCAAATTGATATGCTGAATTGATTTGTCAAGTCGTTTAGCTCATCGATTTCCCGTTGCTAAAAAAAAGAAATTCGTTATTCTCCTGCTTATTATGCCGAATATTCAATAATAATTTCTCCACAATTTACCTGTTTGATAAATATCATTTCCAGATTTCGTGGCCTCAAGTCTCCTATATTTTGATTTCCATCAAAAGCAGTACGTGGTATATTGAACGTTAATGCCGTTCGGAGCTTCATGAGTCCAACACGGTGGCGTAATAATTCGGCTCTTTTCAGTGCCTTTTTGATGCTACGAAAAAAAAGATTAAGAAGAATCAGTGGATGTATTCAATATTCATACATAAGAAAAAAAATCATACCGTCGATCAAGCGATTGTTGTTTTCGTTTTTGCTTATTATGTGAACAATATAATGCCAAACACTTGGTGGCGGCACATTTTTTTTGCATGAAGATAGCATAGCCTCAGAAATTTGGTGCACGACAAACATTCATCCTTGTTTTTTCTTATGCAAATCTTGGCATGTTTCACATGACGCTTCACTTTCTCACAACCGGCTTGAGGACATTGTAGATCTACACAGTAGCTTGCATGAATCAAAATCTGGTTGAACCGCTTAAATGATTTTTTGAATAGTTTTTTTGATGGCTCGTCTCGTACATTTTGTTCATGCTCCTACAAAATGAAGAACGGAAAACAACAGTTTCACTCATTATAAATAATAATATTATGATAATTAAAATTATTATTATTATTGCTTTCACAAAATTATTAAAATTCAATGAAAATCGTAAACTTACCATTGACACCTCTGATTGGTCCATTATTTCATAGTTTGGTTCACTTGTCATTTTCAAGGTACTCAAATAGGTATTCACGATAATTTTATGAATTTTTGAAACTGAATTCGAAGTAAAATTTAGTTTAAGTTAAACAATTTTGGATAAAATATTTTTTGGTTGTATCGACAAGTCAACGTGCATATCACAAATGAATTCGAATACCATATTGTTTGTAACGAACGAAGATTTAATGCACCTAATTAGGCTTAATGACCTGGACTTTCATCTTATCTGTGCGCGTCTACATTTAGCACAGGCAACACTTAATACATGTACTTATCCATAATGGTCAAAATGGAATGAGCCAAGTTTTCATCGTTCAGATGTCGAGAATGAGTATACTATTAATATTTTTCATGCCAGCAGATCTTGAGATTCGAATACCATGCATATACAGCATATCATTCAAAGGGAAAATACATTGAAATGTCAAATGTATAAGTTTTACCATTCAAAGCTACATTGTTAGCCACAAATATGCAATTTTGGCTTCGAAGAGGTTGAACCATATACTTGCATTTACCAAAAGAACCTGCACGTTCATCATCATAATGATCGTTAAAGCAGCTCCTCCAGTTTGTAGCCCAACATGTGGGACTGAAATGTCCTTTTTTCGATTTTCCTTCTAAACGTTAAACTTCGATTAAATGTGAAAAAATGAGCACAACAGTTTTTAAAGTGCATTAAGAGCCAACGAATTTATTTGTGCATAAAAGCCACCAACAACACGTGCTTCTGTAGATTTTAGCTTAAATTGAATATTGAATTAAAATTATACCATTTCAAATATATTGAAACTTCTTCCAGTCCAAGAAATTGCTTAAAATCTATATTTTTTAATTACCAAGAAAAAACTCTCTTTCTGGATAAATGATCATATCAAGTAACATCCAAATCCGAGATGGATTGGGTTCTCTTGCTTTTCGATAAATCACTTGTTCGGATATAAATACAAAAATCGCCGACACAAGGGGCATACCACACACTAAAAAATATCCATAAAAGTGATTCAAATTTACGTCATTGCTTTGCATTTTAGAGTTTTTGTAAGACAATCGAGTTTGCTCATCCGAATGCCATCGCTCAATCAGCCCAGCAGCACTTGCCATCTGAATAAATTGATTCAATTCACTCAAGAGTGGAAAACTCTTAGTGATCAAAAACTTTGTGGCAAAACCATAAATCGTCTGTGAGCTATCAAAACAGTAAACATTTGAATCCAAACTTGGGTGACTATGTAGTGAAATTGCTACTGCCAATTTTGGATTTTTATCAAGCTGACCCAAGCATCCATCCAAGTCATTGCAAACGCTAAAATTGTCTAGCACCTTCGATGTATATGTCTAGAAATCATACAATGGTTTAATAATATAAGAATTTGTATTCGTTTTATTTACCTCATTTTGCCTGAGAAGCTGCTCCATTGCAAACTGGTCACCAGTCAATTCAAATGCTTCATCAATGATATTTTGTGTGGTTTGGATTTGGTTTTCAAAGAGTGGATGTGTTAAAATATAAAACAAATATGAAATACAAGTAGTTGATGATATAATACATCCAAAACAACCAATAGCGTACATTATACGCAATGAAAACAATTTTGCATTCAAGTTAATATGAACAGAAAGCATAGTAGCATATATGTCGGTACAAATTTTATACCAACTTTCTTTCAGGACAGGGTCGAATTGTTCCATGAAATAGACTGCAACCGCGAATATAATAAATGTCATATATAGACCCACGAAGACCATGGGATCACGACATACATAGAACACACTTTTCCAATTTTGAACTGGTTGTTTCTTCTGTACACACCACGTCAATTTATCATAAAAATAAGCACGCGAAGCAATAAAGTGTTCTTTTGTCAGTGTGCTTTCATCCAATCCACCTATAAATATATCAGCTTGCCTACTTGAAAATATTAGTCAAACATTGAGAATCTGTTCCTATTCAATTAAAATCTTACGTCAAATGAACTTGTGCCGCAAATCCGTTGAAATTCTTCTCATTCGCAAAGATGTAGTTCAAAGGGGTTTTCACAACCAGATAATCAATTTGAAGGTTGAATTTCCGAGCAAAATTCTCGATAATTTTTATATCCATCCCTATTGGATTTCCATTTTGATCGAACTCAACAAATGATTTTTGCACGGAGAATACAACTTTGATTTTCTTTTGTAATTCAGTTTCTGGAGGTATTGTGTCAGAAGATGAAACTGATTGAACCAAAATACTTAACAAAAGAAGTGAGAACAATGCCATTTTTCTGTATGCGTCTGTTCAGGGCAGCAACTAGTTAGAAACTACTTGATATGGCATCTATTTCGTTGTAAAAATATTTTAAAGCCCCCAATCGATTTTTCAGGATCATATCTAACATGCAAGTCATATTTAACGCAATTTTGTTTTATTGATTTTGAAATGTTCGCTTTCTACCATACTGAATTTTCTCGTTTGTTCCAAACATTCGGGATATCAATCGGCAATAAAATTTACTACAACACCATTGAAATTTAATAAATTTATTTATACATATTCAAAAGCAAGAATAAAAATATTTATTTCTTTATTTTTTTGAATGGAATTTACAAGCAACGCAATTTTTTTTATAAATAAAATCCGATTGAAATAAAAAAAACACTAATAATCAACATATGGACAAACACACTGGAAAGCTTAATTTGATAAAAAAAATAATAATAAAAATTATTAGACTGGGAGGTTAGCTAAATCTTTCCCCCACTTATTCAATTCCGGAATATGACTGTGATCGTCAACGGATGAGCAAATTTTCAATTTCCTTCTAATAAGCATATTTGAACATAGTATCAATTTGCCCCCCTGACTCCCCAACTATCGAAAATGATAAAAATACATTATATAATAAACAGTATTTATCATCAGAATGGCCATGGCGGAAAGACCGATAACGATTTTGTGTGAGAAAATATATGAGCGTATGTAATACTACCACTTTCAATTGTATATGTGCGTTTACCAACTCCTGTTTCGGAACATGCAAAATGGATAAAACCAGAAGCATTACGGATACAAAAAGAATCAAAATAACAAAGCGACAATTTATGAAAATGTCGCAAAAAAATCTGGAAATATTCGAAAAAGGAAAAACATGCGCTTTGATACCGAGCAATACAAATTAATTGAATTGTGTCGCTGCGGTGCGTGAGATATAACGAGCTGGCGGAGAGAATTTCCTTGATGATGTGAACACCAGTCGGTGTGGGGTTGAAGATTCGTGACCTGCCTTATAAGGAAGCGGACAAGGAAACGATGGAATCTGGACTATTTTTAAGAGATTTGGTTGTACCACAGCAATTATTGGATTGTCGATCTGGGCCTGGCGAAGGATTAGAGACAGATTCTTTACATCAGACGAACGTGAAATTCACCTTGATTGAGCAAGTTAAAAAAAATAATTGTACACGAAATATATGATTTTTCGTAATTTTTTTTTAAATATCTTTGAAACCTTGTTTTCAATCCAATAGCTTCGCATCACTATGGCTTGTCCGGTGAGAAAATCCCAATAAAATCCAAAGCTCCACTGAAATAAAGAATAAAATATTTCGATCCAAACAAAATACAAACGAAAGAACTTTATAGTTTCAAATACAAACTAAATTTTATTGTGGAATTATTATTCGTTTCGCCCCATTACATATTTATTTTGTTCAATTGTGTTAAAACCTCGAATTTAAAATCAATAATTAAATTAATTATTCGTATGTGCTCATTGAAAAGAAATACTTGAATGAATTATTCAATGCTTAATACATGGCGAGAAGTTGTTGTAAATCACGATTCAAATGAGCATTGGAAAAATCATTTTTAATGTTATCCAAATGATTGTCGAAATCGTACAGATCCTTCATTGCACCGCGTTGAATCAGTAGTTCGACTGCATCCAATGTTTCATTGATTTGGTTTAGTGTAAATGATGTTGACACCCAGTGATTTTCTTTGTTTTGGTAAACATTCAATGATGGTCCATTGTCTTTGCCCCCCAGAATTGTGTTATTGAGAATGATGAATGCAGCGTTCGGATTGTTTTCGGCCACTTTGTCGGCAATTTTGACGCCTGGTGCCTTTTCAATGGTATTGTCTTGAAATAATTCACATGCAGCATAATAGCCAGCGATTTGCAAGTCATTTGCAGCGGCCAATGCTTCGGTTTGGACGAGTGCAATTTCAGCCATCGGACTTAAATGCAAATTCTGATGAAATAATGGCATCACATCAACAATTTCAATGTTATTCGATGTGTCTTTTGAGCTGGCCAACAACAAACCATTTATCGCACAATGTGGATACTTTGCTGCATGCAAAACCATCTTGGAATAGGCTCGTGATGATATTTTATAATTGGTCATCTTGTTACACGGGGCTTCTATCAACGATTCCAAATACGATTATAAAATAGAATACAAAATGTTCAACTCAAAAGCAAAAAATGCTTGACGAAAATGTTGCGAACGAAAGTAATGCAAGTAGATTTCAAGTTAATTGGAACAATTTTATCGTGCTCACTTTTTTTTATTGGATTTTTTTTTCGTTTGACAGTTCTTGACGTGTCAATTTTGACATTTCATGTGCGTTTCAAGCAACTGCTTGAATTGGTCGATTTGAATTTTTTCTAGCACTTTACGACGGTTAACAAATCGTGTAGAGTGTGTCGACTGTTTGAATGTGTAATGCGGTTTGGGCGCGCAAAAATTGTAAACGCATGACGACTGCGTTGCGTTCGCACAAGGTGCACGTATCATTGGCCTTAACATTTGAATAATTTCGAAAGTTGACAAAAAATTTCCTCTTGTTTTAACAATCGATCACGAATAAATGTATGAATGTCATTTCAAATGCATTGAATTGATATGATAATCTAATCGAAATTGTTTTTACAAAAGTTATTATCAAATTCGTTGACGTAGATTTTCTTTTTCATTTGATTGTTGTTTTTTTAAAGATTGAATTATCATCATCTGTTTGGTGTCGATGTGTATGTGAGCGCGCACATATACGACGATGCGACTCAGTCGTCGAATGCAATCGCCATTTTAATTCATATCTTTCTTCGCCGCACACAAGGGCACACAAATACATCCATAGCGAAGTAGGTAAACAAAAATCTGTTGCACTACAATAAACGCACACACATCATTAGTAGTGTCATGAATTTTGTTTTCTCTACTACACATTCGGTTTCGTATTTATTTTGTTTCGTGTGCTGCTGTTGTCAGTTTCAACACATTTTCGTTTTCACAAGAAATCGGCACGCACACACATACACATTCAGTACAGGCCAATGTGTTCACGGCGACACACATAACGAACACAATACACGCGAAGCGGAGAACCAAAACGCACAAGCCTCATTCAAAATATTGCTACAGTCCGACTTAGTCACATAAACGGAACAGTGCTTTAAACAAATAACACAAAAAAAAATCTGTTGGAAACAAAAAAAAAAGATATTTGAAAATTGTTTGAAAAATATTTGTGAAAAAGTGAAAAATTTTGTATTTTATCAACGATTCATAATTTTGGGCGAATTCATTTTGGTAAGTGTCATATCCATTTCCTTTGACAAAATTAAAAATTTTAAATGCGGAATGAAGGTTTAATTGTAAGCGAAAAGCAAGAAAACAAAGCAAAACGGAGGTGACAACGAAAAAAAAAATCGTCGCAATAATTTATAATCGCAAAAAAGCGACTGACATCGCATCAGAAATATCGCCGAATTAAAGCGGTGACATTTTTTGTATCAAAACGACGTATTCAGGAAAAGTACGTTACTTTCAATTCGAATACGAATTCAGTCACAGTATTTCAAACGAATCATGACTTAGTTTATAGGTAGAAGGAAAAACCCCGATCTCAGTTATCGAATAGACAATCCCATTGGTTTAGGAAATTTTTTCAAACATAATTGTACGAATTGAAAATTATACAATAATTTTCGTTTATCGACGATAAAAACAATTACTTTCTTCCGTCATTTCGTGATTTCCGAGTTGATGAGAAATTGCATACGCACACAGAAGTGCATTGTATGATTTCGATCTTGTGATCGATGACTTTCAAGATTTGCAAGCATTGATTGTGAGTGTGTGCAGTGTGCATGCATGGATGAACGCGGCATAATTTTTAATATTGAATCAACTGAATGGGTATATCATTGCGTTAAATGTCCCGGATATGAATATGAAATATATCACACTTGACACAAACGAATGAATAGAAAAAAAGTGCAACATATATTTATTTTTTTGGAAATCGGTGCGATCGCATAATGCGCAACTGACATGCTTATAAATTAAATGACTGTACATAACAATGACATTCACATTCACATTCGATTTTTTTCTCGTTCATGGATTTTGCATATTCGGCTAAAAGCGTGCACACACAATGTTAATTCACAGAAAAATTGGCACTGAACATGATATGGGCTATGTTTCTTTCTCGCTCTTAAATGTTTCGATTGTTTATATACCTGTGTGTATGGATGTATGTTCATGCATGAATTGGAGTCGCTCATTCGACCGCTGTATCGAAGAAAAATGCGATTCATTCAAAATGAGGTCAATAACAATATGCGAGTACAGTTTGAAAAGCCACAAAACAATTTGGACGAAACGAGAAAACGGACGAAGAATTTCATAATTTTGCGTAATGCAATCACGAAATTCGTCAGTCTTCATAGCACACACACACACACGCAGACACACAAACTCAATGTTGTGGCGAGAGTGTACTCATTCTGCAAAGAGAGTGAAAAATGCCAAAAAAAAACAGAGATAGTAAAGAAGAAGAAGAAATTTGGCATAGCATGGCAAGCGTTGGAATTTACGCTAATTCCGCTGAGAACAATGGTGTTAAAGTCAGTCCAAGTCACATATGTATATACAAGTAATTTACATTGCTTTTGACATACTTTTCGGTCTGTGTGTTGTGTGTCAATGTCTTGGTGTTGTTTGGTATGTTTAACGGTTACTCCATAGATTACTCGTATTAAAAATCTACAGCATGTTCGATCGAATAAAGACCGAGAGATAGATAAATTGCCGACTTGATGTTTCGTAATGCAAATCCACATGTATGGTAGATGTATCTAGTATATCCATGCGAGTTGAAAGAGTATGAGAAATGTGATCGAAACAGTTGAACAAATCAACACCAAGAGTGGGGGAAAAGTGAGAGAGATACACAGACACTCACTCAGAGGCTGAAAGGAAAAAAAAGCAAACATCATTTTTACTTTCATTTTTTCGCATTACGCTTTCTGACTGACTCTGTGAATGTAAAACAAGAGGCTCTTACATAAATGCTACTCTAATTTCAGTGTCTAAAACCAACCCGAAAAAAACCCAGACTGGTAGCCACTGGTAAGCGGAAGCAAACACTTGGCTTGCATTCGAATATGATTTTATCGTGTCCAGCATTGAACACCAAATGTTTGTAAACTTTCGAAAATTCAAAAGAAAACGAAAGACACCAAATCAATTCCGTCTCTTTAAGTTTTGTGGGATTTAGGTTAGCTCATATTTCTTCTTATCATTTTAAACACCATATGCATTCCACTCATGTGTACATTCATTAGTTGAGTCGTTAACAAATTGTGATATCGAATTTGTTGTCATTTTACGTAGCAACAAAATCAATTTGAACTTTGAATTATTGGGAAATGTTGTCATTCTAATGTACTCCATTTAAATCATTTAAATTGTGCCGTTGCCAATATGAGTCATTTTTTCCCATTCGGTTAGTTCAACGTAAAATAAGATTCAAATAAACAAATATGGCTACGTTTTGAAGTTTTTAGTTAATTTCTTTCTTTTTTCGGTAATTCTTGTCTTCGCATTCGGTTTCGTTCTTTTTTCGGTGTCTCGAACAGATTGGGAATAGAGTACGTAACACGCACCGATCATCTATATTCTCCCTTCAACGGTGTGTTCGTGTGCTCACACCATTCCAACACATTTTATGTTGTTCATGTCTGCAAAAAAAAGAATATTTTTCGGTATAAATCGAATGCAAGTACAACCGATGGTAAACTCAATTCGGAGCCCATCGATGCGTAGAAACATTGAACTGAAAACAAAGAAGAAAAAAAAAAACCGAATGTACAATGTCATTACTACAACAAAGATAAAATCGAAAAACCGTTGAGTTGAATGTTGAACCATATACAACGTACTAGAAACGAAGTGAAAAAAAGGTGACGACGGCAGCAACGACGACCACAGTAAGTACGAAGAAACTTTGAAAATAGGTCTTCCATTTGTTTTGCCTACTAAGTGAGAATTTCTTCGACGAGTAAAAATTTGTGCCATAGCACACATAAACCGATAAGCATGCATCGCATTCCATGTGTGTTGCTATGTCCCATTCGCACTGTTACCGTAAAATCGAGAACAACACACACCGTCATCAATATATACATGTATTGCTCTGCACTATGTACTTTAATGATATAGCGGCAAAAGTGTACTACGTGCATTTTCAATCGTATGCACTCTCTGTTCTGCTTCTATGTAGTAACGCAAGCGCGCGTACGTTGTCGATCATTGTATGCGTGTGCACGCGTGTGAGTGAATGAGAATCGTATTTTGTTCGTAGTTTTATTGACTCGGTTGTGTTATTTGATTTTTTTTTTCAACTGCAATGACAACAACATGCCGACCGAACCGATCGTATTGTTGTTCCCTTTCGGTTTCTGTTTACAACCAATACTTATACAATCACATATGGTAGTCGAGTGCATGCTGCACACTCACACCCAGATGAATTTCTTTGAACGAGAATCACATTGAATCAATTTTTTTGGTGTGCGCACCGCATTGTGTTTTGTGTACACACGCTTAAAATACACGATGCACAGCCGAACTAGTAAACAACATATGCACTTTTCGTTCGTTTGATGTACGAAAAGCGAAAAAAAAAATACGAAGCAATACATGAACAATAAATTCAAACCTGAATCGTTGAATTCTTCCGCTTTGAATGCATTTTGTGTGATGTTTGATAGATTTTATATCGATGAATTTCGATAATGGCCTCATACTCATCTATTTTGCCGCCTTTTTCACACACACATGCACTATACGAACACACATATACGCATAGACACAATAGTCGATATTTGATTTGAAATTGACGTCTAACGTACGAATTCAAAAGACAAAAAAAAAAATTGTGTCATCCATTTTGATGTGAATATTCTAGGCCATCAAATTTCGACACATATTCATTAGGTAAATGAAACATTTGGGAGTCGAAATTTTTTTAGCGTGTCGTATGAACAGAAAATAGAAATGAGAAAATATTTTTATCCTCAATGCAAAATGGCTTAAAATAGAAAAAAGAAATGAAACAAAATGCATCCTTGAGCTTGAACTTATTTTCAGTGTTAAGTATTAGCGTCATTAGAATGACACACAAGCAAACAATGAGCGTTTATGAAAATATTGTTTGGCATGCGGCAATATACATACATTTTTGCTTACGAAACGAACCATTTTTCTCTCGTCGATATACACACATTGTCTTTGCTGATTTTTTCCACTGCACATTAGTCGGACGGAGGCAAACACGCAAATGATTTTGCAAAAAACAAAATCCGAACGGACGAACAAACGAACCGAACGAAACGCTTGATGGGTCAATGAACATATTCACTAACTCATGGCAAATCTGTTTTTTTCTTCTTTTTCAAATGACTGTACCTTTTATTTCAATGCAAAGGTAGCAGCAATTCGGTAATCCAGACGCAGAAATATACACACACAAATATTACTAAGCGTATTGAAAATGACATTTGCTGGCGAACAACGAAATGAATGAATGTGACCTTGACAGCGTTTCTTGGCCTCTTCGTCATCGCCAAATTCAATAAATATACGGTTTAGCTGTCTGCTACAAAACGATTAACGATTACAAAAAAATCTAATTCAATACCTCTCGGTATGTCTTCGCCTGATAAACAAGTGCCGAATAAAAAAATCAACATTTCCATTCATCGCACAATCAATGTCATTTGTTATTTGGGGACCTACATTTGATTCAAAATATAAACACATCGAAACTATTTGCATTCCACATACATATAGGCACGCAATTTGCTTTGAACCCGGCATGGTTCAACGTTCGCACGCATTCGAACCCATTCGGGTTGAATGTTTTATTTTGTTATTCCCTTGCGCCTCATCTTCTCTCCTGCGACAACAAACATTTCTAAACAGAGAAGAGCTACCAAACATCGACATGAATCCCGCATCTGTCGTCGATCCATGGATGTCTGTATGCATGTATGTGTGTGTGTGAGTGCATTGTAAGAACTAATGTGTACGCGCGGTGCTTTCGAACATTGACCTTAAATAAATGCGCGCATTTTTTTGTTTGTTTCATTTCAATTCAGAGTATACACGCGAGTAGAGTAAAGTATGTTTATGCGTCGTTGATTTGGTTATTTACTTCGTGGTCCCGGTTCTTTGGGCTCACACACTCTCACACACTTGCTAAGCTGTGTGTCGATCGCGCCACATTTATCAATGCCCGCACGAGACGAATAATAAATAAACATGCATATAGGGAATAGTTGGAATACAAAATATACCGAAAAACTGAGGCAAAAAGGATTTAAGCACACACTATTTAATGCAATATAAATCGCACACACGGATGCGTGCACTCTTATGCCCGCCGCATTAACAGGATTCAGTGCGGTGCAACGACGCATGGAGTGTGAGTGACACAGACAGAACGCGAATGAATAATAATAGTGTGAATTGACGAACACACCACTCTATGTATACGATGGCTCTACTTTTTTTTCGTTGTATATAATTATATAGTTGTTGACGTATTAAAACGTTGTATATATTGTGGATAGTGTAGAATGTTTTGTTTACTGCGTCAGAACATTCACGTTTTTATTTAAAAGTTTTTCGAATGCCGGATTTTTCCTTTCATTTATTTACGTTGTTGCTGCAGTTAAAGGATTTCAACATTTTCTTGAAGTAAAACAAATCGTGTGAGAAAGAAGTTGAAACGATAAAAAAAGCTATATTGTGGTTATTTTCAGTGTTCCATACATGGATATTAATACTAAATTTAGACGACTTTTTTTCATTCTCGTCTATAAATATTTAATAATGAAACATTGTATTTAACCACGTCTGACAGCTGCTGTTGCTATATCGGTTTAGTTGCCCTTTGATTTGAATTCTCAGCTGACGTCCTGCCTCAATAATTGTATTTTGACGCGACTGAACTCAGAGTCAAAATCTCCGTTTTTTCGCTCTCTTCAAATCATCGTCGAATAATTCAATCCATCCACTCCGCCATTTAAAGCATATTATGTATTTATGCTCTCTGTGCTGTTATTACGATGGAAAAAAACGCTTCATCACATGTCTAGCCAACACCAAGTTTTTTTCCTCTTCATTCGCTGCTCTCGCTTGACGAGACGGAATGAAGGTAACGTTTTGGCACTTTGTGTATTGTTTGTGTGTATAAACTTTTTTTATGGAAATTTTCCATCTTGATCTCCACGCCGATTGATGCTCGGGTTGTTTTGTCGGTCGATATGTGTGTCGCGTCGCTACCACAATTTTTGCCAAACACCAAAATATATATACACGCTTAAAATTTCATTGAACCCAAATATACGAGTGTCTACCATTGCCCGTCGCCTCCGCCGCCCGCTACAACATTTTCCAAGTAGCAACAGAACACACATTCAGGCTACCACTTCGGCGCGCATGTTTTGCCATCGTATGCATGTTTCATAGCATGTTCCTTGAGACGAACATTACGTTGCCGTAGTAGTATTGAATGTAAGGCGAAACGACACAAAAAAAGGATATTGTAACAAACGCACAACATTTCAAAGTCTAAGTGTCGTACCATCCAAAACATTCAAATAATGCCATTTAAAGTTCATCCGTTGTCGCAGACACAAGTGTTTTGACCTATTCTCTGCAAAAAAAAGTAGAAAAAGACCATAAACTCAAATTCTTTTATCTAAAGTGTGATTTTTGTTAACTGCAGTGCCATGGCAGAATAAGCGTACATTTCAAGTAAGTCAAATATAAAAAAAAATCATTTTTGCGGACATTTTTTGCAAATTCAAATTTTGAAATTTAAAAGAAAAATTGAAAATTTTCTTCAATTTCGTTTCAATTTTGTAAAAAAAATGTCAACGAACATTTTTTGCTTCGTTCGCTTTCTTTATTGAATTTAAAAGCCGTTGGCGGCCATTTTAAAACATTCTCTTTTGAATGAGTCATTAAGAAATAGAGAGTGTGTGTAGATTCTTTAAATTTCTCGCATATTTCATAACTTTGTTTTAAATACGCCAAACGAAGAATTTCAAAGATTAATTCAATCATATTCATTCATCTTCAAGTGATTAGTGCATGCACACTCGACGCACATACAATGTGACGCACTCAAATATTTTTGTAAACGGAAAAAAACGTCTTCTCTCGTAAACACGACCATCACAAACGAGCGTGTTTGCGAATTACCGAACAAAAGAAAAATCTAAATAAAAAACAGAGAGACAGATACAAAGAGAAAAACAAAAACATTGCAAAAAAAGGCGAATTAAAAAAGCATACACAAAAATGTATAAACTAAAACAGGTTATTTTGCTCGAGCAATGGAGTTCATTTTACTAGAGCGTATCTGAAAATTTAAAACAATAGAAGTAGTGGTGATCGATGATAAATGTGGACGATATTTTCGGTTGTTGACGATCGATGGTAATGTCACTACCATAACAACATTCTCAGACTCTCTAAGAAGATCACACATTTAGAAATCTCAAAGTCCAATCTGATGCAAACATGCAGATGCTGACATTTGAAGTCGTCTAATTAAATCCTACTCCGCTCTTAACTTTGCAAATAAAACAGAACGTTGCAAAAAAAGAACTTCGCCTAAGTAAGAACAGAGAGAAGCGGTCGTATAATTAAGATGCATATTACTCTAGAGAAAAACCAATGAATGTTTGTCAACCGGATTTTCTCTTAAGTCGTTCTCTTTTAAAACACTTGAAATGCATGTTTAGTATGTGAGAAGCCTTTAAATCGTTCGCATCAGCATCCATTTTGTATTTCCTAATGAGTTTTTTACCTACGCAAATCAAGGGTAGCAAATCGGTTGAAACAAAAGTAGTAGTAACTACAACAAAATTTCGTGCCTAATTTCCGTTCCCAATCACAGAGTTGTCCATCACAAAAATAGGTCTCCAACAACAAGCGTCAGTTATTAGTAAACAAATAGAGACACACACACATGTGATGGCATTGAATTGAGAAAAAACGAAACAACAACATCAGCTCGGCTCAGAGAGTTGACAAGAATTTTTTTTTCTTAAGCGCGTAGTGTGTCATTAAATTGAATGATTGTGTTGTGTGTGCGTTTTAGTTTCGAACCGTGAGCGTTACACACAACACACATTTGTGCGCGAAATACACACGCGTCAAGTATTTAGGTGCACTTTAACTTGTGTGTTTGATAAAAGCAAAAAAAAAATTGTTTTCGTGTGCCTTTGTTTAGCACTGAGTCAGCTGTCATTTGATCAACAACTTAATCAACATTCAGCTGGCTAACCGAATAGTTTATATATCCGTTTGCTTTAGAGAATTGTGTTCAGTTTTATCGTGTTCGCACTATTGAGTGCATATTGCAATTGAGACCGTGTGTACGCGCTTGTGATTTATTTTTAAAGTACAATTTTTTCTGCAAAATCATATGGATAAAATGTGGTTTCTTTTATTCGCAATCTCTGGACTATGTTTATATTTCTGGGGTATATTTGTTGCGCTTACTATGTTTGAGGTAAAAAAATTCAAAAGAAAACTACAAAAATCATTTATTCGTAATTCATTTTGAACTTATTTCTTTTTTGCATTTATTTTATGACAACATTTTTGTATTTGAAAGCCATGTAGTACGAATGACATTGAGATAAAATTACGCGTTTAATTTCATAATTTAACTTCCGACTTCGAATAGGGAAATTAATGTATTAATTTATTATATGCACGATACACGGGTGTTTTTTCTCAACGATCATGATACGATATCATTGATTGGTGAACAAAAGATGTGAATTTGCTTGCGCCCATTTTGAGGTAGATTCAATTTGAAAAGGTAGTTGTGTGATATCGACGCGTCGCGATTGCAAATCGGTCACTTTTTATTAGCGTATGATTGTACGAATGACATTGATTTTTTTTTGTTTAGTAAATGCATTAGTAATAGCAGATACTTAGACGCAAAAACGCGCGTCTTTTCAATCAGACGGCAAATATTGACCGAGAGACAGAGAAAAAACAACTTGTGCTCATTTTATAGAGTTTGACTAGTAACACAAGCCGTAAAATTGTTTGGAGTCGCAAATTGGTTGTATAATAGAAGAGAGAGAGAGAGAACGAAAAAACTGTGGAAAATAATACAGTCATATTTAATAAATAGTATTTGGTCGAGGTCATGGTGTCACACAACAAAATATTTTTTCTTTCTGTTAAAACAATATACACGATTATTAACTCTTAAAATAAAATAAAATAACAAACCAAATGCGAGACATCACATTTCAAGCCCCCGTACGAAATCATAAATGGCTGTTCCAAGTTGGTCTGGTGTTAAGTTATTAAAATCAAAAGTAATAAATGCTAGAAAAAACGCATAAAAACAATGTCTCCGCATCGATCGGCATCGATATTTGAATTTGAAATGAAGGCAAACCATTTACATTGCTTTTTTTACACCACAAAGATAAATCAAGATCGACTCACTTCAAATGTTCTATTTTAATCTTCTATTTTTAATATTTTTCCATTTGTTGTTTCGAACATTTGATGAATTTTTCTAATTTCTGTTGAATTTATCCGTTTTGTTACAGGCATACTATGTGATACCACGTAATTCACATTATTCAACGACAGCGTTACTTCGACATTTGGCTACGTTGCCCACCATTTTTGGCAGCGATTCAATTCTATTGACCGACATCTCGCAAACAATAACAACGACATTGTCCTTGACATCGGGCACAGTCGCTGCCGCAACGGCATCACCAACGAACCAAAATTATCCGCATATCATTCATGATCGCTTCCACATTTACGGTTATTATAGTGGCAATGAACCAGCGCATCAGGTCAACTACTATGATCAACTTCTGTCTTAATTCAAACCCACCGAATATCAATTACAATTCAATCGTTAGGCTTATATAACTCAAAATTAAAAGACAATTTTATTCAAGTGAAAACCACAAAAAGGCGAACAAATTTCGTAAGTGTCAAAAAAAAAAAACAATCATAAAAACAAACATATAAAAGATACGAGTGTGCGTGTGAAAGTAGAAACCGCGTGAACAATGTTTTCATTTCATAAACCAAAAGTATATCGCTCAGCAACCGGGTGTTGCATTTGCAAAGCCAAATCGTCTAGTAGTCGATTTACCGCATCGATGAAATACGAATCGGATTTCGAAGAGTGTTTCCGATTGGATGAACAGCGTCAGGGTGAAATTTGTAATGCGTGCGTTTTATTGGTAAAACGTTTCAAACGTATGCCAGCAGGTCAACGACGGCATTGGGCACACGTAAGACATTTTTACACTAAAATTTGTGATTACATTATCATACCTATTTTTGGGTTTTACCATTTCGGCTGACCTTATATGTCTCAACTAATATCATTCGATTTTTATTTTCAAACAGGTTGTCGACGCACGTATCGGTCCCGGAATAAAATCGATGACAAAATTCAAGAAACGCAAAGAAGAGCAAATGAAACAAGAAAAAGCATCAACATCCACTGAATTTGCCGGCCAATCAAACACAAACGCTCAAAACATTCGCAACAATAGTACCATGTCAGAGAGATTTGGAAAAATTTTCAAAAAAACTCAAAAGAAAAAGGTGGCACCAGCTCAGGCAAATGACGAAAATTCGCAACCAACCAGCCCATCGTCGATCAGTGATAACGATCGAATGAGTGACGATGCTTCCGACGATCGTCTTGAATGTTACGAAGACATGCGCTCAATCATTGGTGAATCGGCCACAAATCGTCGTGATAAACGCAAACAAGCGAAACCAATGAAGTATCAAAATCAAACACTTCACCTGCAAATGCACGTCATTGACCTAAGCATATGGGGATCGCGCCAGATTTGCTGTGGCAAATTCTACGAAAGTAAAAAATTCGGAGCAATATTGTTTGATTTAAATCAATTTTCATCATATTCGTGTTCAGTTCATGGCAAACAGTTGCCATCGCCGTCATCATCAGCCTCCACATCACCATCGAGTGGAGAAAAGAAAGGAGAATTGTCGTCGACCATAAAATTACCCCGAAAGAAGCAACTGTTGAGACAATTTGACGCCACACCAGCCGTTGAACCAGTTGAACAAGCAGTGCCAATTGATTACTCACAACCAACAACATCCAAATCAGCAATTTCAAATGCGTTCACCTCAAATGGTGTAATCCGAGAACCCACCACTTTGACTAAACTTCGTGGCAATTCCGGGAAAGTGGCGAAGAAAACGCCGAAAAAGAATTTAAATGGCATTAAAAATCTCGTGAAATTGTGCACATCACAGAAAGTTGTTAGCGCAACCGCGGCAGCAGCAGCCGCCGCCGCAACCACAGCAGCAACAACAGTAGCGGCAACAGTGACCGCTTTACATAGTGCAATCAATAAGCACAACGAACAAGCTGTGGCCAATGAAAATGAGAATATCACCAATACGACCACGAAAGCCACTGAACTAATTGTCGTTAATAAATTCAGCGACAATTCGTCAGATTCGGGGTATGATGAAGCATTGCATGACACAAACCAACTTGAAAAATTGAATCAAATTGTTAATATTGGCACACCGCGTCCGGTTATGTTGTCCAATGGCGTTTTATTGCACGTTAAAAATCGCGAAAATCTTTTGCGTGCCGCTAAATTTGCTGGTGTCTCTCAGACAGCCATTCAAACCACACAGGTAAATTTGCATTTTTATTACGATACTTAAGCTTTCCGAGTAAAATTAGAAATTGTCACTTTGTTTTTATCGATTTTTAATCACTTTTTTTTCCTCAACTTGCTTGCAGGCAAACATGAAAGCGATGAATGGCCAAACATTTCAAGAAAATACATCAAGCTATAATTGTATTAAACCAGCACATGAAATCATCAATAATAAACCAGGCGTTTTTATGGTTACACCGAGCGTCTAAGCAGTTACCAAATAATCAAGTTTAGACGAGCATCGCGAAATTTTCGTCATAATCTCATTTTTCAACTATGAACGAACAAAAAAGAGACAGTTTTGTTTCCATTTCAATTTGATATTGATAAAACTATTTAATAGACACAAATCGGACAAGTAACTTTAAGACATGAACATTTCACACTACAGTATTTCCATTGATGGTGATGCAGTGTAAAATCAGTCTATGTATTTCGGATGGATATCCATCCGAGATATTTTAGAATATCTGGATATTTAACGCAACTGCACAGAGCCAGAGCTGTGTGCGTCGCACATATAATCTACGGTATGTCGCTACACGTAAAATACAGACACAGTGTGACTGTGTACGTGCGACACTTGATACACATATACGTCGCGACATACCGTAGATTCTATTTGCGACGCACACAGCTCTGGCGCTGTGCAGCTGCGTTGAATATCCAGATATTCTAAAATATCTCGGATGGATATCCATCCGAAATACATAGACTGGTAAAATGAAAAGAAACAAATATTTGAAGAAGAAGGAAACGCGAACAGTGTAATATTGTTATTTGCATCTCATTAGTTCATTAATATTGGTCGCAGAAATTTGTAATTGTATAGGTTTTCTTTTAGGCAATAGTTGTTTTGCATGATCATTTTGTGCTCAAACAGGTGAAAACAGGCACATAGAGAGAGAGAAAGAGGAAAGAATGAATGAATATGAATGGAATGGTTTGGAATTCAATTTTTTTTTTCGGGATAATAGATGGTAGATATTTTAGGGAAATATATCAAGACAGTTTTTTTTGTCAGTATGTAGCTAAGTATCTGGGAAAAGAAAGCAATAGAGAATTTCTTTTTGTATGTAAACACCATCAATTGAGCCATGGTCCATGGATTTATTGGTTGAACACAAAGTTAATTGTATTCATAATGTAGTTTCGCTAGTGCATGTAAATAATTTGACCAAAATCATTTCAAGCACAATATTTATTTGAAACACAATTTTTTTAGACTGACCAGGCGTACCTGATGTGTTTTTTTCTCTTTAATTTTATTCTTCTTCCGTTTGTGTTTGCGTGTGTGTATATGTTTGAGCCATAATAACTTAGAACGATTACTTGAGATTTTGCATCAGATTAAGAGAAAAACTGTGATGGGTTTACAGAGCATTTTTTAATTTCTGCACAATTTTCACCATTCATTTTCTCATTGTGAATGTTCCTTCCGTCTCTACGCATGCATCACAAATCAATTTTATATTATTTGTCACCATATTTTATTAATTCTAAGTTTATTACCCATTATTGGCATGGATACATATTTAATTTATTTATTATTTTTAAACAACTTCGTAATTTGGTCGACATTTAATGCTCATTTTTGGTGTTTCGTTTTTGCACAGAATAAAAACCAAACAGTAAAAATGACCATTACATTTTTATGTAGCATCGACTCAGCCATGTATTTGGATATAGTTTTTATTCGGAACCAACTGTTTCATTTAAAAAAACAAGCCACAAATTAGAGAAGAAAAACTTTGTCCAAATTCATTGAGTAAAATACATAAAATGCCATACAGAAGCAATTGCTCTTTACCAAATTTCTTTTTAATCAAACACGCGACGATTGTGCAATCGTATGAGAGGGAAACTCTATGAAACGCAATACAATCGAAATCGATTTAAAGTTTTGTTTTTCTCTTTGTTGCAAATGTGCGTTCGATTTGTCAATCGAAAAGAATAGAAATAACCACAAATACGCACATTTTCCGGAGAAGAAAAGCTTGCAACGAATTCTTATTCGCAATGATTTTTTTTTTATTATTCATTTTTTTTTGTGCAAACACACATTTTAGTTTTAGATAAAATGGATGGTTTTATTTTTAGTTTAAGTTCAAGTGATCGCAATTAATTTGGTAAGAATCCGTCTTGACTGTCCCTTCAATGTTCATATGCATCTTGTTTGTATAGATCTGACTGGATTTTTTTATACTATGACATACTGCTAATTTAATATGTACTTTTATTAGACGAATAAGAGAAATTTATTGTTTAAGATACATCATTATTTATATGGAAAAATGCATACTATTTTTATTGTCAATTTGAAAAGACATTCGTACAATATGAGGCATTATATACATTTCTTATTGAATGAACATAAGCATTAGACAATATCATTTTTATTTTAAACTGCAGTCGAGATTGCAACTTGTACTCTACTCACAAATATATTCATACATCTGGTTTAGATATGAATAACTTTATTAATGCTAATCGCAATCGGGGCTATTGAACACATGTGACCACAGCGGTGACATTCAATCAACACGCGACTAAGATGAAAGTGTATATTTTGAAGCGAAAAAAAAAAAAACAGAAATTAGCAAATGATTACAGTGTGTTAATTGTGTGTCACCCATGGGCTGTAATAGCCATAAACTTGTTTGCATTATTTACCCTCTCATGGTGTACATACAAATCAACCAGATTAAATTAATTATTTTATCATAATAAATTATATTACAAATTTAAAATAAATAATAACGTTGTTTTATTGATTTATTATTTTTACAGCTTATTTTTGTGATTGAGATAAAAGCAGAGTAACACTTTTTCATTCAGATTTTTCTTTAATTAGTTTAAGCTGCTGACTACTGAGTATGTCTTACTTGCCTTCAACTTGAAGTGTTTATAAATACCTGAATGAGGAATTGCTATAAGAATTGTCTTAAAGGCAACCCGCAACAGGTTTTATATACCATTAGATAGAGCTGACGATATATATGAGGAGAAAAAACGTTTAACAGGGGAAGAATATGCCACAAATAAACTTCATACTAAAATCGATAATTTTGACAAAGGAAAAAATTTCACGTATGAGATTTGTTATCAATGCATTTTGTTTCAGATCCAGTCAATTTAATATTGAAAACTAAATTCACAAAAACGTTTCCAAACGAATCATCGAGAACGTACCCTTCAACAAAATTTGAATGTTGACAGAAATCGCACAAACACACATACAAACACTGACAATTACCTCTTGTCCCTATCGAAATCCCAATCGTTTTGTTTCATATGATGTTGACACTTCTGCTTGATTCATCATATTTTCACTTTTTGCCATTCGCGTAATTTGATAACAATGAGTTAGTAAAAGGCGAAAAAAAGATAGCAAATAGTATATTTTTTGCTTGCACGATTGTCTAGCAAACCGATAGAAAAAAGGCACCAATAAAAGTTAATCAGTCTCATTTGCACTTGAAATGGATAACATGATATCTTAGTACATCGAAATTTGTATCATTTTTGTCCGTCTCATGTAAACAGTGTGTTGTTGTTTGAAGCATTGACATTCAAAAACCAGAAATAATTTTCAAATGCGTAAAAAGTAAACGAAAAAAAATTCAATTCAAAAAACTACGATTTAATCTGTGATTTAAAACCCTAAATTTAAATTTAAGTACAATTTGATGCTTAAGTAAAAAGTGATTGATTTCACAATGGCTCAAAAGAACGGGAATACGTATAATTTTAAAGTTGTGCTGCTTGGCGAAGGTTGGAATCACTTTTCTCTATTCATTTTTAAATTGCATGAATTGATAATGTCAATATGGTTGACCGTTTTAAGTTCTTGACTTTCGTTATTGTAGGAGCGGTCGGTAAAACATCGCTGGTATTGAGATATGTTGAAGATACATTCAATCCAAATCACATTACAACTTTACAGGTATTTTTCCATTTCGATTCAATCGCAATAGATATACAGAAGCCATACGACGGCACTGCATATGCAACACACATAATTATGCTTATTGGTATTATTGACAACGTATATATTTCCGATTTCTAGGCGTCTTTTCTGAACAAAAAAATCAACGTCGATGGTAAAGCGGTACGACTAAGCATTTGGGATACGGCCGGCCAAGAAAAGTCAGTATTTCAAGCATTAAATAAACCGAAACAATAACAATATTTTTTTCACACAGGTTCCATGCCCTAGGGCCCATCTACTATCGTTCGTCGAATGGCGCTATCCTTGTTTATGATATGTAAGCTTCCTCTTTTTATCGATTTTATTCGTCATTTATTGGTAACCCCAAAGAATTGTAAATTACGTCAGAATGAAATTCGTCAACACAATTATAAATAAACAAAATATTCTTATCACACGCAAACAGAACGGACGAAGATAGCTTTCAAAAAGTAAAGAACTGGGTGAAAGAATTGAAAAAAATGCTTGGCTCAGAGATTGTATTAACGATTGTTGGCAACAAAATTGACTTGAACAAAGATCGCACGGTGCCATTTGAGACGGCAGAGAGGTAATCACCTTTTATCTAAATGAACACATTTTTTTTTCACAAAACATTTTTATGCATTATTTTTGTTGTTTACAGTTATTCTCAAAGTGTTGGCGCAATGCATTTCGAAACATCGGCAAAAAATAATGTTGGCGTCGAGGACTTGTTTTTAAGCCTAACAAATATGATGATTGACGCGAATGATGCAAAACGTAATCAAGAGAATGCTTTGAATCGATCGAACTCACTGCGGCGACCGAATTCCATCATCGTTGCCGAAGATGATGATGAACATGACGGTGCGGATCAGCAAAGATCATTATCTGCACGATGCTGTGGCAATGGATAATAAAAAATTTCATTTATTGTGTTGTGACTTTTGACATCATTTAATTTTCTTTTTCATCAAATTATTTTGTCAAATCAACATAGTTCCTTTATACCTGTTGATTTTTCCTTAAAATATACTTACATACTTTGTTTTTTTCTTTTCACCAAAATTTTTGTTATGTCTGTAGCCTGAATACAAACATCTGAATACGATTTATAGAATGTAAAACACGGATATTATTCGTGCTTTAAAAAAAGTGATAACTGCAGTTAATGAGAAAAAGCAAGACATTTCGAAAAAAAAGAAAGAAAAAAAATAACCAAGAATTATTGGCAGCTTGCTCCTTTTTTTTCTTTCTACGTGATTTAAATGAGATCCTTCTATGTGCTATCGGATTGGCTATTTGTAGAGATTAATCGTAATATCGTTCAAAATATATTTCTATATTTTTTAATGAAAATAAAAGAAACAAGAATCCTCTTAACCCAAACAATTGAGTGAGATAAGCTATAGACATATAAGTTCCAAATGAATTTTAATAAAACTTAATAAATTCGAAAAAAAAACATGCAATTTAATTCACCAGTTTACAGTTTTCATTTAGTAATATTAGCGTACATTGGACAATACGACTAACAAACAACAATAAACAAGCATATGGTGTTTGCTTTTGTTATTTGTTTAAAATGAGATCATTTGAACGAATCATACACCGAACTATGTCTCGATTTGTGTATTTGTTTAAATTTTCCAATAAGTTATGAGGCCAGGCCGTTGATTCTTTTGGAAACAAAGTCGTATTTATTTTGAGCTAAAAAATATTCATCAATCGATGACAGCTGTATTTGAACAGGTTTTTTAATCGACTTCCACTATGAAATTCAAATATTCAAAATTTAGCTGGAAAAAAAATGTTAACGATGTTATGACGATATTCTTTTACTTATAAAATTAAATAACTTTATTTTATTCAAGTCACTTTTTTCATAGATATGAGCTGGGGAATTTACAATAAATTACAGTTTTTTTTATTTTTCATTTCTCTTTCGCGATAAATTAAAAGTGTTAGTCTTCGAATGTCATTCGGCCTGGTCCATGGTTCTTCATATATCGCCTATATGATTTATGTCTCGCACTTTCGGCCAATTTGGCCTTTAGTTCTTCTTCTTGTTCGGCCTTCCATTCGTCAAAGTTTTCTTTAATCCACAATTCCATGTCCAGGTAGTCTTGTCTTTCATGCTCTTCGAGACCGTCAAATTGATATTGGCCGAGTTTCATGTATCGTCGAATGAGATATAACTTCTCTTCGTCGCCGTATGGTTGTCGAAGGATTGTGAAACGCCAAATCCAGTTTCCATACCAATAAACATACTTAATGATCGTATAAGGTAAGATGATTAGTTGCACCCAAAGTAAATCGCTAATTTTTGGCTTTGCATAAGCTCCCTTGATGTCCATCTTTTCTTCGATAATTTGTCGAATTCGGCGCTCCTGTTCCTCTTTCAATTCGGCTTTTGACACTTTGGCTCTTGATTTGGGCCTACCATTTTTTCCACCACTATTTGCAGCCTCTTCTTGTCGCTGTTGCTCTGCAGCTATTTCCTGTGCTTTGATGCGATACTTTGGCACAGTCATAAAATATTTTATCGCCGAATCGTAACGCTGCCATAAACTGTAGTACTGGACAATTGATATCAGAGTGATGGTAACAAAAATGACGACACGTACGTCCACTTTTGGTGCCATTCGCCGCCGATAATATCGATAGTAATGCGAATAGTATTCATCCGGATTATCCAACATATAATTGTAATCCTTTCGCGCTTCCTCATCTCGCAAAATTTCATAAGCGGTCGCTAAAGGTAAGAAGAAAAATTAAAAAACAAAAAATTTATTAATTTAAAGATTCAAAGAGTCGTTTTTGACTTTTAAATGTTTACGATTAAAACATATTCGTGTCACATTTTAAAGACATTAAAAAATTCATTAGCAATTGAGAGATGTCTCGTTATTGTCAACGTGTCACCATTTGTCTCAAAAACACACGTACCGAGTAATTTAAAGTTAGTTTCGGCTTCCTTTTTTTGCACCTCATCACGGAACAGATCTGGATGCGTTTTTTTTGCCAATCGACGATACGATTTTCGAACATCACTGACACTTGCCTCGCGCGTTATGTTCAAAACATCATAACAATTATCACGACCACAATAAATTCCTTCCAGCAATTGAGCATGGCAAGCGTTTAGACACATTATCAAGCAAAATGTGCCTAGCAACAACACAGATAAACTAGACATTTTTTATAATTTTGTTTTCTTAAAACTTTTTCCGAAGTTTCTTAAAAATTTCAGACTTTGTGCGTTTCCAAAATGTGTTAAAAATAAAACCAAAAAAAAAACTAAATCGAAGCAATAAAATGAGGTCAATAATTTTTGCGTATGAGTCGTGTGCTTGTGTTGTTTTTTCTAAAAATCATTTTAATTACGACCTAACGGAGAAACCTTTTCAATTGCAAGCACGTTATCCAACTGACTACCAATGCTCCGGCGAATCGGCAATTAAAAGCAATTTAATTTTTTTCCGAGTTCGTACGATTCACAATTCTTTGACTAAATATCGTCACTCAATTTATACGCGTTGTCAGTCTTACATCTGCTTGCATTGGTATGAGTTTGACATTTACTATCAACAATGTAGGCTTGATAAAAAAAACTCAGTTTTGACACTTGACGGCCATAACCTCAATATTTCACCAATACTCGCATCGTATTGCTTGTGTATGTGTGTGTACAAGTGCCACTTCAATAGCAAATTTTCGCAAAGACTTCCCCGTAATTGATTTGGAAAACTCAGTGTCAAAAAAAGTCTTCTGGTAGTAATAGGTTTCGATAAGGGGCACAACAATTTTTTTTTTTCAACGAAAAGCCAAACTTGATGTGAACATGTTGTGAAAGTGGTTTAAATATACAAATCTATCGAAAATGATGATATTTTGCAATTAGCACTATTTATTATTGTTGACATAACTTGTTTTCATTCGATGACAGCTTGAAAATTGCTTTTGTATTGACATGAACCAAAACGAGTAGATTTGCTCTTTTTCGTTCGGAAAATATTGTGATGAGGCTTTTTAAAGGCCATGTTTGCACTTTTATCACATATTTTCAGTAGAACTTGCAAAACTACCATGAGCGGACTAAATACTACGAAAAGTAGACTGATGCTATCCACTGCCCATGCATTGATTGGTACTTAAATCATAACAAAACACTTCTATTTGTTTATTTTATATATTGAAACTAACTTTAATTCGATTTTATAGGTTTGGGCTTAATTTTAATTCAAGTATTGCACACCAGTTCAGGTAAGGTATAATTTTATCTTTTATTGGGCTTAATCGTCGAGAGAATAGAAAAAAAGAATAACAATTGTTTGCATTTCAGTATTCGAAACGAAAACAAATTTCAGCCGAAAGAATCGACTCGAACGGCACACATACTTTCGAAATGAGGATGCAATTTACATGTATATTTACCACACCATGGCTGAGGCCAAGGACTTTCGTACCGGATTCGCACAAATCATGGAAAATAATTACACTGAACATTTACATACAGTGAATAGCATCGAACGTTACTCAATTTTACCTGAAATTGTGATTGCGTAAGGAATTTCATTTGTGCTTTGATTTTAACGCAATTTCAAGATGAAAATCATAGTTTTGGACAGATAAGCTAGTTTTCCTTGGTATTGCATATGAATTTGCTTGAATACAGAGGGAGAGGGGGTGGGGTAGAAGTTTATTTACTGTAAAAAAAAAGATATAAAACATTTGCAATGGTTTGTCCAAGTCAATGAATTCATTTCATTATTTACACTAAGATGCGTCCATATCAATTTTAACAATATGACTGACAAATTATCAAATTTCAACTCAACCTTTTTCACCATAGATATTTATATAAACAATTTATCCAGTTGACTATGTACTATAACATTCCGACGGTGTCATGTTGGGAACGTGTTGCATCGAGCGATCCAGACCAATCTGTGGACAATATGCTGATCGATGTTGATACTTTTGACGATAATGATAATACGATTTATCGACATAATTTATACCATTACTATGATCAGCATACAAATGTGGTGTGCGATGGACCTGGTTTGCCAATTTTCTTTTACCTTGAAGTGACATGGTATATGGGTGGACTTTCTCTATTCATTGTATATTTGTTTGCAACTTATTTGAGGTAATTTGAAAACTTTGTTATTAGAGTTTCTGAAGCTTTAGGGTAGAAAATTTTACAACAGCACTACTGTTGGCTACGAACGTTCGTTCGTTCGTAAAATTTTAAAAATTATATTGTGTTCGTTCGTTCGTTCGTAGAAATCGGAAAAACAAATTTGTTCGTTCGTTCGTAGATTTTGAAAAATAAAAATTTAGTTCGTTCGTTTGTAGCGATTTTTTATTTCAAATTTTCTTAATATTTTCATTATTTTCTTAATATTTGAAATAAAAAATCACTACGAACGAACGAACAAACGAACGAACAAAAAAAATTTAATTTTCAATTCCTACACAGAGAGAAAAACATTTTGATTTACTACTACATTTTTGAGAAACGTCAAAACACAACTACTGTTGCTGTATTCTCAAAAGTGTAGTAATAAAAGATAATAGATTTCTCTCTGTGTACGACCGAACAATTTTTTTTTCAATTCTTACGAACGAACGAACGAACAAATTTTTTATTTATATTGCCTACGAACGAACGAGTGTTCGTAGATATTCGCAGCCAACACTAAACAGCACTAAATCTCACTCTTTAAATGTATATATTACTTTTCCGTACACCCACTGTGTGCAGTAATGTATTGCAATCACCCCAAAATCGTTTTTCTACGCGTTTTGGGTATAGAAAAGCACAGAGCAACGGTGGGGATGTGGTACACTGTACATAAGTCGCTCAAAATCTAATGGTTTCTATTCCTCGTGACACCCAGTCATCCTGTGAAGTCATATTTTGAATTACTTTTCTTGGTTGAAAGTTATCGTATTAACAAATTTTTGCGTACAGGGACAGGGTACGCACATAACGGGTGTTTTTTGAGAGGTTGAGTACTTTAAATTGAAATAAAACAAGCATCGATTCTTATTTAATCGTGAAAATTGCTTGATTTGGTGGATAAATTTATATCATTTATGTTTTAAAAATGATTTTGGGCATATGGCCACCACGGCTACGTTTCACATAGGCCAGTCGGGAGGTCCAATTTCGAGAATAACGCGCTCTATATTGGCTTGCAACTGCTGAATCGTTGTTGGTTTGTCTGCATAGACCAATGACTTAACGTAGCCCCACAAAAAAATCCAGAGGCGTTAAATCGCACGTTTTCGCTGTCACTGGTGGGGATGCAGATTTTGATTATATACTGGTCCCAAAACTGGTTCGGTTCAGAAGTTATTTTCCTTTGGGCAATTTCTACGATGGGACGAAGAACGATGGAGTCACTGGTGAATTCGATGGCTATGATTTTCCACATTCGGAGTCACTAAAAGTTGCACTGAAATACACGTTCAATCTTCAATCGTTTCGGAAAAATCAATTGCAAGCGATTAACGCAACTATGTTGAGGCATGATTGTTTTGTATTGATGTCAACGGGAGGCGGGAAATCACTGTGTTATCAACTGCCAGCCATGTTAACGGAGCAGGTGCCAATCGTCATAAGTCCATTAAATTCGCTGATATTGGACCAATTACCTAACACAATGTGCCTCGTCAACGACAAAACGTGCAACCAGATTTTTTTCGTAAAGTTTCTGTATGATTTTCTTGAGTCGAAGCGATTGGATAAGTTTCTCAGGTGTCACATACAAAAGTTTCACGTTTGGTGGTGTAGCATTGAGTTGATTGTGTATGTTGTTCTTCATCCCATCGTAGAAATTGCCCAAATTTGGTTGTGGTACGAACGGCATTTCCACGTCATCATCGTATATGGTGAGATCATGAATTTCCTCCGATTCCAATTTCATGACTGACTTCTTACCTAGGAGGTAGACACAAATTTTTGCTATAGAAAACTAAATGTATACTAGAATCTAGTAGAAGCTAGAGGTGTCAGCGAACGCGTTCGCAAAAGACTGGCACTACGAACGAACGGTAGTTCGACAAGTGAAACTCCAAATCAAATATTGTATTGGAGGCTTTTTTGACACCTTGTTTTTGCACCTTTAATTTGAAGAAAATGTCCGCGTTATGTCCGAAAATCCCCTGGATCGTCTCTTGAGAGAGTAAATCAAATATTTCACAATATTTTTCAAACGATTTCACGTACCATTGTTCCATTTGCACAGTGTATTTCTTTAATTTTGTCAGCTTTTAATCTCTTCAAGAATACGTCAATTTGGGGAAATGTGCACGCACACAGTGCTTGTATTTTGAATGTGCACGCACACTTAGTTACAAATTTGCCAACCGCTAAAAATGTTAAACCTTAGACCATTTATCAAGCAGTAATTTAGTTACGATCCATCTCGGCTTGGCTTAACCCCGGCTATGCAGAGATTATTACTTTTCCGCACACCTAGGAATCGGTCGAAAAATTAACCCCTCAAAAACGTGTTATCTGGGTGTTTTCGGGGCCAGGGAACATGAATCTAGCGTTTTTTCAATGTCCGAATGTATGTGCGTACCCTGTATCCTGTACGCAAACATTTGTTAACGCGATAACTTTCAACCAAGAAAAGTAATTCAAAATCTGACTTCACAGGACGATTGAGGGTCACGAGGAATAGAAACCATTTGATTTTGAGCGACTTTGGTTGATAGAGTGAAGTGCCATGTCTGGTGTGATGCCCATAGGAAAAATTCAATTTTTCTTCCAAAAGTTGTATTTAATGTGTCTAAACACTTCAAGATATGTATTGGGGGGTTTCTTGGCAAGAAAAAAACCGAATATGATATTCATTTTGCGATACAAAAGATGTTCGACACACTTTTCATACAAAAAATTAAAAAAAATTGGATTTTTGAGCTGAAACTGAATCTTATTTTTTCACACAAAAATAACATTCTGAGAGTTTGAAGAAATTTCAATGCATATTAGGATTTTTCGCTCAAAAACGATTGTTTTGTATGGAAGGTACCCTTAATATGCATTGAAATTTCTTTAAATTTGCTAAGATTATGTAGTTTGGCAAAGAAAATGATCTTTACAAGTTTTCACTGTGATTAAATTTCTACAACTACATATTTTGGGAAAAAGGTCCTATCAATTTCGAATCAACAAAACACAATAAATTTTTGTTTGAAGTGATTTAATCACCATAACGACTTGTGAATCTTATTTTTTTGCCAAAATACACAATATCAGCAAATTTGAAGAAATGTCAATACAATTCGGGAGTGCCTCCCATACAAAATTTTCGATTTTTTGATCATAAATTTTGTATGGGAAGTACCCCGAATTTGTATTGAAATTTTTTCAAACTTTCAGAATGCCGGAATTTTTGTGAAAAATACCATGTGCAAAGTTTCACGTCGTTACGATAACATACAGGCATTGATTCCATACTAAAATGCCCGTTTTAAGTAATTTTCGTATAAAAAGTGTGTCAAATGTGAGTTCAAATTTAAGTAAAAGATATGTAATAAATGCATGTTGTGGATCACAGTGCGGAAAAGTTCATTTTACGGATGTAAGACATTTTATATTTTATTTCATTCTATATTGCAGTCGTAACGTGTTCGCCGGTCTGTTCGCCGCATTATATTATTTTTGCATTCACAATGATGCGACTCGAATTCATACGAATCCAGCGGCACGTGAAAACTTTGCCATTCCATTTATCATAAGCCAAATTTATTTTTTAACCGTTTGGATCGAGCATCATAATGGATACTACACGAAAATCGACAAGATAAAAGAAGAGACAAAAGACTCGACGACTAAAATAAATAATCTTGAAGAGAGCAATCGATCAAATCACATCAAATTGGCATTTTTCACAGCGTTTGCCATTTTAATATGGGATTTTTCCACATACATTTTTGCCGCTCAAATTCTCATCGTTTTATTTATGGTAAAAATGCGTCTGATCAAACGGCGTCATATATTTTTGCAGAATTTTCTACTTGCCCAAATAATGGCCCGGTTGATAGCCACAAATATTGTGAAATATGGATGGGCCGAATTTCATCACAAACCTATGAATTTCGATTGTTCAGCGTTGATCACATTGTTATTGTATATCGTGCAAAAGTATCCAACACATAATCATCGGAGTAAATATCGAAGAATTGAACGAATCATTTTACGTTTATTTTTGTTGGTAATGGCATTCACAACGGTGTTTGAGCTAATATCCCAACGAAATTTTAACTCACAATACATGGATGTATTGCTTACGAAATTATACCTGAAGGAGCCAACATTTACAGCACTGTTGACAATGTGTCGTAAAGATTACAAGTTCATCGATGTCGGAACGTTGAATGCATATAATTCGCTCTTTGGTAGTAAAGTACTGATTGTATTCATGTTGACAGTGGTGCCAAATTGGTTGAAGCAACAACGAGAAGTGGACGAAAGTTCCAATGATCGAATTCAACGTGCCAAAAACTATTTGCTCGAAGACTATTTGGAAGAGAATAAATTGTCGATGGCGGATTTGGCGAAAATTGAGAAAAATTCCAAGCTCCAAGTTTGCTTAGATCTCCTAAAAGTGTGCAAGTACGATTATGAAAAGTACAAGTATGAACGAAAACGTATGCTAGAAGAAGAGAATAAAGAGCGTCCACAAATTGAACGTGATGCATTTCTGAACGAAGTGCGACGGTACAAAAGTGAAATCAGTGAAACAACGGAAGGAACTCCGCCGATAGATGACATTGAAATTGAACCGGAATCAGAAGATCAAGAACCAAAAGCAGACACTGAAACTGAAAATCAAAAACATCACGATAGACAAAAGGTGAATGGAGTGACTGACAAGAATAAAACTGATACTGATTCAACGACGGTTGATGCGGTACGGTTTGACTGGCGTAAATTGCTAACCATTGAAAGATCCGAGTATTTTTATAATTTGGCACAAACGGCTGCATTTTTTCTGTTCGCAGTCTTGATAATAAAAGTTAAATATGTGTTAACACCATTCTTATGTATAATGGCATCGACATTCCCACCGAAAGCGTTAATACCGCGAAACTATGGACTTTGGCTGATTTACGCGGTTGTAATTGGCAGTTGCATGATTGACCGTGGCGTTTCTAATATTCGAGATCAGTATAATTTAAGAGATGGCGCTTCCAAAGCGGCGCACTTAAGAGACGAGGTTATCACATCGGAACAACGCGATTTGCGTGACATGTTGAAATGGATTAAATCAAACACGGATCGCACCGAAGTATTTGCTGGACCGGATGATGTGATTGGTTTGGTTTTACTGACAACAGGTCGACCCATTTCCAATAATGCACTCAGCGATCATCCGTACATGAAGTAAGCAAGTTTGATTGGGAACATTCAATTTCGACGATTTAATTGATGTTTTAATTTATTTCCAGGCATCGATCAAAGGTTGTCTATTCGATGATGAGCAAACAAGATTCGAATGCGGTGTATGTTCAACTGGCTGAACTTAAAATTGATTATGTCATTGTGTCAAATCGTGATTGTTTCGGTTACAAGTAAGAAAACTCACATCAATTCTAAGTCTTCAATTGAGTTTTACAATTTTTATTCTCTATTTCAGTGACGGTTGTAAGATATCTTCAATTTGGGATCGAATTCAGCCGGAATATCAAAACAACGTACAACTCTGCGCCGATTTGTATCAGCGACCGAACTTGAATTTCTTAAAAATATTCGACAACCAACATTACATGATTTTGAAGATATTCGAACGTTTTCAAATCGATTTGAATCTGATTCAAGTGCAAATGCAAGAGAAAAACATGTAGTCGAGGTTTTTATACAAATTTCATTGTTCGTAATGGAAACATTTATGCAACATAAAATGTTGATCTAGTAAAATTCGAATAGATTTTATAGAAATATACTCAATTTGCGTGAGCAAATTTTAAAATCTTTTTTTAAACAATTATACTTGCGGTATGCGCAATGATGTATCAATGTTTGTATGTCAATAAATTATTGTATTTAAAAAGGACAAGTTTTGCTGTTTTTATTCAGTTTTTGGATTTCGGCAGAGATGAAAATGGTGAATTCAAGAATTTGGGTAAAAATATAAATATTCTGAATGATAGTACAAATCAATTTCTACGCACAAGAATAGAGCTGTCAACGCATCTCCGCTCGATCGTTCGTACACAGAGAGAAAAAATCCAATGATCTCTTCGATAGAAGAGCTTCATTTTTTATAATTAATATTATTTTTTTAAATAATTTATTATGACTGTTTCATTCTTTTACATGTTTTTGAAATATTATGGTTATGGTTTTGTGCAGATTTTCGTACTTACTGCTATGATGACCTTTGTACTGCTATTTAAATTCCCATAAAAAATTCGTATTAAGATTATATTAAATTTTTTATTTAAATTTCAAATTACATGTGAATAAATTATTTTTTAATTATTGAATTGTTTATTTTTATCCCTAAATCGAAACTATTGATCGAGAAGGAAATTGATCAATTATGCACAAAACAAACGAAACGCATTGAATTTATATATCTATACTGTTTGAACCAACGTTTAAACTAAACACATTTCATTATGATTTTTAATTGATGTTGATATTTGATACTGTCCGCAAATTACCTTTTACTTCTTTTAACATTTTCAGCAGTCATTAAAAATCCAAAAAATACTGATCCAAGGGAATAGAAGTCCGATAATCCAGCCGATAATGTGATCCGGCGAGATCATTATGTTCCGTGTAAAAAAGCTTTTCCCATTCGCTTGAATGAAAAATAAAATAACCAAATATATTTAGTACAATTAAACATTTTTCGATATATTTTAATTTTTATTACTGAATGCCTTTTATATATTACAAACTGATTACATTTTATTTTATTCTATGTTATATTAGCAGCATAAATAAGCGAAAAACAAAATTAACTTGAAACGAAACGGAAATTGGGAATGAAGAAAAAAAAAAAGAAAGACTACATTTATATGTAAAAGTATAGATGTTGAATGTATCTGTTCTATCAACAAATGTCTTGAAACAAAAAAAAAAATGTGAATAAAGAAGGATAAAAATAAAATAACTTTTGTGTATATGGAAATGTACTTTCTATCTAAAATCTAAGATCTATGGAGTTGAAAATTGGTTACTTCATAAAAAAACATATGCCAAAAAAGAAGAAAAAGCATATTTATGTATATTAAACAAGAAATAAACCAAAAACAAAACGTCAACTACTTAATATAATGCAATTTTTTTTTCTTAGCTCACGAACCAATTTTTATTTTTAATTCAAAAATAAAAAAAAAACACTGACAACAGTGCTGTCGTTCAGTGTTGCTAAACAAAAAAAAATATATGTATATTTATATTCAAAATATATGTGATCATTTCATAGAGTGGAATTTTCATTTTCAATGTCTTAAACAAATATAAATTAAATAATAATCATAATAATAATCATTTGCATTCGAGCTTAGCTCCCCCGAAGCGAATGCAATCAAATCGGAGATGCAATTAAACAAAACTGAGGTAGCATAAAAGAAATAACAAAAAAAATAATTTAAATTTTATTTTATTTTTTTAAAAACAAAGAAAAACACATTGTTTCTCTTAAACCACAATAATATTTCTCGTTAAATTGATTTACACGATTGAATTGCATTTTATAAGAACAATTGCTTAGTTACCTAGGTAAAAGGTGCAAAAAAAGAGAATATAAAATATTTAATTGAAGTCAAAGGATAAATTGAAAAAGAAACGATAGATAAAATGCCAAATTACAATTTCTCATCGCTGATCGAAAAGAGTTTGGGGATTCAATTTCGATGTTGGTACTTAAATTATAATCGATCGTAAATTATTGAACAATTTGTTTTGTCTTAAAAAAATAATTAAGTACACTTATGCTATTTGCAGCAATGGGAGTGTGGTTACTATACGCGCCACATTCAATTTGTAAATGAGCAAAGATCTATTATAGTACATTAAAAGAAAAATTATCGGAAGAACGGTGTGTATTAATGTTGATTTGTTGAGAGTGTTCAATAATCTTTCTATCATTTTAACAAAATAACAAATAAGTGTTAATTTAAAAGGAAGGTGTTTTATTTTTCTATCGAGTAATTTCCAAGACAAATGGAATGGATCCTTTTCTCGTTCAGTTTTAAATAACTTATATAACCTATACAGTATATCAAGTTCAAGCCACAAGACCGAAAACGGTTCAAATTGCACTTGAACCTTATAGAAGACAAAAAGAAAATATTTTCTTTAACTTATAATTCGATGGTTGCTTTCATACGGGAAAAAAAGAACACACTTATCTATCTATAATTATCTCGGTTACCACACCAAAGTATTGAAGAAGAAAAAACAAATTGAACAAAAGTGACATTGTGAGCACTTTTGAATTTATACAACTAATTATACATATCTAAAGTATTTAAAGGTCGCAAACTCCATGTTTCTTGAATATATAGCTGCTGAGATATATTAACAAGTAAAAAAAGGTTCGTGAAAAAAATATAAAGAAACGAAAAGAAATTCTAAACCAATATATTAAAAAATATCAAATTGAATTCGCTTTGCGTCCGATGATTGTTCGAAGCAGCCAAACATCTAGCTTGATCAATGATCATTAACATAAATAAATCTCTAACATTTTATCTTACCGATATCTATGCGAAAAAAAATCAGATTGCTTTTTTGTTTTTGTTGTTGTTATTGTCAAATATTCAGAATTTATTTTAAATGGGGTATGGGATAGGCGATGACCAAACCGACCGATTGAATTCAACTGCATGCGGTGCTAGCCTCTTTCTTTGTGGTCAGTGCCAATGTTTGTTCGATGCCCGATGTGGAATGTTTCCGTTTGCGTAAATCAGCCAAAAAGTACTCTGAATTGGATGAATCGTCGTCGTCATCATCATCGTTAACGGCCGTTGTTGCCACCGTTGCTATAACACCGCTGGTGCTGCGTTGCACTAGATCCGGTTCAACCTTGATATTTTGTACATCGGATGAGCTAATGCTGTTGTTGTTGTTGTTGTTGTTGTTGTTATTTGTGCTGTTGATGGTATTATTATTTGCCGTGGTACTTGAGTTATTGTTTGTTTCGTTAACCGTTAGCTCTTCGGGTTCAGTTTGTGGTGGCGGCAAATGGCTCTTGTTGTACAGAGCAACCGGTTCGTCTTGTGGTTGATGGGCCGCTGGTGGTGTTGGCATCGATAATTTATTCCGTTTTTCATTTTTCATTTCCAATTCATATTGAGCCATCATTTTTCGCTTTGAGAAGTATTTATGATACTTTTGATTGTCCAAAATTTTACTGCTGCTATTCGTTTGTTGAATTGCATATTTCGGTGATAGATTTTGATTGGTACTGTTCAAATTGTTGTTGTTGTTGTTATTATTATTATTGTTGTTGTTGATGTTGATGTTCAAACTCGAATTATTATTTGTTAAATTGTTGTTGGTACTTGAGTTGTTGTTATTATTGTTGCTACTGCTGTTTATCAAATCTTGGTATGGGTTCTTAGCTCGAATATGCTCACGGAATGTCGAACGGTTTTGATTCGGGCTCGGTATATTCAAATTATTGCTGGAGTTGTTGTTGTTGTTGTTATTATTATTATTATTATTTAAACTTTGCTGTTTGCTGTTATAATTGACAGGCTCTTTCATTGCATTTCGGGCGTATTTATTCTCATCGGTATCGGTTGTGCTCTATAAAAATGAAAAAGTAAGCAACCATGTTAATATAAGCCGAAGAACAGAAGAATATGAGTGAACATAAGAAAAATCAATCGAAAAGATGCAAATATTAAAACAACATACCTCTGTGTGTAAACCTTTGATCTGCATAATTTCGGCTACTTTCAAGAATTTCGGCAGATCTTCATATTTTACATTCACTTGTCCGCTGTACATGAAATCCAATAGACCGGCCATATGATTGCTGTTCACATCGGTCATAAATAAGATCGGATGCGACGATGGATGATCCAAGAAGATCTTTTGGAAATATGGACTGCACACCGATAAAACCTGAACGCCATAGAATAAAACCGAAAAGAAAAATATTTGTTCAATTAAAAAATGTCCAAATATCCATTCGTCCCTTTCAAATCAAAAGGGGCTTTTTTCCCCAATCAGTCAATACTAACCAATTTGTGAGCTTTGAAAATTTTACCGCCGGCGGCAATGGTGACATCGACCATTTTTTCATCTTTTTGTAAATTATGGAATCCTTTGCACATGTTGCCATGGAAATTGTTCCAGGATAGAAGATACTGCAAAAAATGATAAAAAAAACCAGTTAGATGTGTTTTCTTCGTGTCGTAAACTGAAACGAAAAAGAAAAGTGTGTGCTGCCTACTTGATCGATGTTGTGATGTTGTGGCATAAATACGGGTGTGTGTGCCATCGGTGGTTTGATGTCATCTTGATCATCGTAATCGTTTTGTGTTTGCATGCAAATCGGTGTGCCGACACGTGTTCCATTGCCAATTGATCCAGCATTGGAGCTGTTCATCGATTTGTTCATAGCGGCGTGTATTTGATGGGCCGGCGATGTGCGACGTTCACCACCATTATTATAATTATTGTTATTCATTTGAACTTCTGGGTGCATATCTTCATAATCGCGTTCGCTGGCTTTGTCCGATTCACGATCTTCGCCGGTATCGCCGCCAACAACACCGCCACCACCGCGATTGCCGCTGCGCATCATTTCCGAAATGTCCATCAAACTGTGACCGGTGGCAGCTGAAATAGCTGCCGACATAACTGGGTCATCTTCAAATTTCAATGTGATGCTTTCATCCAATGAATCAGCGCCCAATGTTTTTGTCGACGAAAATAAACGCAATGTTGGATCGTTCACTTGATCGCTGAAAAAGTGATCCATCAAATTGAAGAACGGCCATTCACGACGTTTTGGTTCTTCCGACAATTTAATTGCCTGCAAAACAAACAAAAAAAATGGTACGCAAAATGAGCAAAGAGCAGAGAAAAAAAAGTGCTTAATTGAAAATTAAATTCACTGTAAAAATTTCGTTTTCATTTCATGAAATTGCTGCAATAATAATTTGTACGAGTAAAAATGACAACGAAAGAATGAGAGAAGAGAGTAAGCAAAAAGAATAAAAGGCGAAAAATGAGGTCACATCACCTACGAATACAAAATTCCATACCGTCGATGCTGCTGTGGCTCATGGTTTTCCATGATGGTGCCCATGAGAAAGAGAGAGAGAGAGAGAGAGAGAGAGAGAGAGAGAGAGAGAGAGAGATTGAGAGAGCGACAGAGGGAGAGATATGTATACACGAGAAAAGAACAAAAGAAAGTATGAAAATGAAATGCAAAGGACCATTTACTGTGTATATACAAGCATAAAATTCGGAACACGACCCACTTATTAGCGGCTTTGTGTCTTTTAATGGAATATCTTCAGCTTAAGCGGAGATTCAATTCGGAATTGTGTATACAAAATCGCGTTTAGTGTACGCGCTCACGCGCACGCTCTCTGTACTACAGAGAAGACGGTGTATGCGCTCATGCGCTCACGATGACGATGCCAATGTCGTGTGTTGTACATCTTCAATGTGCTCGTTGGATTAGCACATACACACTCAACACACTCAAGAGTGTTTAACGGTACTTTGCCCTTCTAAAAAAAGAGCCAGAAATGAAGTGCAATCCATAAAACTATAAAAAAATAAAATGAAATTCTTTAAGCGGAATTCTCGTTACATCTTTGTCATGCTTTTGTATGTTCAACTATGGTCTAGTCTCTAGATCTAATATTCAATGGACTGAAGACTCTTTTCTCCGTTCTCCTTTTCCGTTTCGTTTGTTCTGAGCCATTTCAATAAGTCATTTAAATTGAATAGCCCATTTGTATTCATGGTTCTATGCGCGAGTATGATCACTCATTCTCTCGTTCGTACATATTGACTGAATGTGCCTCGATCGAAAACGGATTATAAATAGAAATAAATACAAAGGTAATACAAATTTGTTCAAGACTTTGGAGAAAATATCAATTCCAAAAAAATATCATTCTATATGCGCCATGTGAACTATCTTATGCAGCAAGAGTTGGTACTCTCCATTCAATCGCTCTCTCGCACACACACCAATGCCAATGAAAAGTGACGAAAAGAAAGAAAAGCAAAGATTGTATTTTCAAAAGCAAACAAGCGCGTGAGACTTGTTAGGCGTAATTTTCTTCTCTTTTTGATTCTTTCTTACACCAAATGTCTACTTAAAATACGAGCAATGGGTTGAAGAAAAAAAGATGAAAACCACTTGTTTCACTTTCGACTGATTCATTTTTTTCGTTTGTATTAACTTTTTCAGTGTCTCTGCTTCTTTTTTTCGTAGGTTTATAGGTGAGCTGTGATTTGTGCATGTTTGTGTGTGAATTCTGTGAAAATGTTAACTGAAAATAGGCCCATCGAATGCGTGGAATGGAGGTGAACAGTGTATTTAAAAAGAAATTAACAAATTGTGTGCCATTTATTTTCGGCGCTCCGGCTCTTTACGCAAATGTAAATATAAACTGAGATTTAGTAAAATGAATGCCTATTTTACTTTGGTCGCTGATTTTTTTAACTAACGGTTTTCTTTCTTATTTGCCGGAAATCGCTTTCTATTGTTCTTTGTCTACGCAGACATCAATTGGTCCAGAAAAAGACCCTATAAACATACAAGCACTTATGTATTTAATGCTAAATAATTTAAAGCAACAGCCGACATTTAAAGAGCTTAAGTGCGAAACGAAACAAAAAAAAAGCAAACGGATAAAATTTACGATGAGCAATTCAGTTTGAGATTGTTTTAACATCTGATTGACACCAATATCAATTCATATTGTTCTCTTCTTCTTCTTCTCTTTTCTGTCCATTTTGCCGTTTTTCGGTCGATATTTTTTCTTCTTTTCTAGCTGTTTGAATACGAATCGAAACGTTTTGCAAATTGACGCATATCATTTAAATTAGTTAAGATATGAAGCAAACATACAATTCATTCAACAGTATGTTGGTATTTATTTTTTTTTTTATCTCGGCCATAGGTTAAAAAAAATCGACGGATCCGTGCTTGACACGAGTTCCGATGCAAAAATTGAAGAATTCCTTGATCGAATTCAGTTGCATCAAACTTCATCGTAATTCATGAGTTTTATATAAAAAAAAGGTTGAGAAATGTCCGTTGTGTTGGCTCTTTTTGGCACATGTTCCAAGATGTGCCACCGGAGAGAAAATCTATCTTAATGCTATCAATCCCGTACGGAATGTTAATATCTAATCTCTCTTTTGAAAAGTTTAAACTAATTGTATGCAATGTGTAAATAAAATCAACTTGATTTCATTTGTATACGTCACGTAGGCTTATGTTTATTGCTTACGATTCCGAGGTGCCATAAACAATCACAGAATAATGAATTTATAATAGACATATTGATTATGATCACACCGTTGCTAAAAATGTCTTTGCGATTCGAAAGTGATTCTGATCGCGATAGTTCCGTGGGATTTGAAAATAAAAAAAATCACTGTAAATCGACTGAATATGCAAATGGATTTCTCTCGCTCTTGTCGACACAAAACTTGAGCATATTTCACATTTGTGATCAAACCCAAAAAAACGCTGATCTGGAAAAAGATTCAGCAAGAAAGCAAATGCTCGCACGACATAATAGATTTTAGCTCGTTCATCGAATTAAATGACGGAATGAAAAGTGCAATATCGGGTGTGACAGAGCGAGAGGGTGAGGAAACGAAAAGAAAGAGTTCCGAAGGTCTGAACACACGTATATATGTGCCTAGTATATGTGATGGAAAAGAATTTCAGTTCCGTTGCAAACAACCCACTGCTGTTATTTATATTCTTTGTTTTCCTGATGCTTATTACAAATTTTCTTTTTCGTTTCCATCAAACAACTCACGCTTTCTTTTTCACCGTTTTGCCGCCAAACCAAAAACGGTTTTGATCTTTGCGCGCTTGCCATTTCACCTTGTTCAGAATGCGAAACAGTAACAACCGTTTTGCCCGTTGAAAATATATAAAAAAAAACCAGTAATTTTCATTTTGGTACATACGCGAAGAGAATCGTGAATCGTCACGGATGCAGATCGTCTTATCTTGAGAACGTACACAAACCGGTGAATGCATGCTAATAAAAAGGCGCACACGATGAGACATAACGAAATAAGAAGATGAAAAGAAACCAAAACGACAACGACACTCGAGATCGAAAAAGACAGAGACAATAAATTTGCTTATGGAAAAAGAAAGGGAATAAAATTTCGATGTGGATGATACGGGAGCGGGCGCGGGCGCGCGCGAGCACACGACGTAAATCGTGAAACAGGTTTGTTTTCATTTTTTATATCATTTATGTTGCACACGCGTGTGCATACTTCGAAGACGACGATGACGACAAACAAACTAAAAAAATAAAATAAAAAACAACAAAATTCCAGTACATGTTCGAAAATGCATGCACGCATACACATGATTTGCGCAGAATTTCGTGGATTTTCTGCAAGAAAATTGTTCGGTACTGATATATTATCGAGAAAGTTGAGATGGTTTCGACTGATTCGGCTTTCGCCTTTCATTTAAACTTAAGAATTCGAAACAATTTTGAGGCAAAACCGAAAAAAAGTATCTGTTTTCTCAAGCTCTTGCGTGATTGGCATTGGAAAACTGCTATACTCGTATTTCCAAAATCAGTTCTCTCTTTTATTAGCCTTTCTTCTAAATCTTTCATTCTTACATTAAAACGTTCAAAGACAATGTTTGACCAATTTAATGTTCGAAATTCATCGACGAAATCAGAACGCTTCGTTAATCAATTGATCATAAAAATGTCGTAAAATCTGTTCTTTTTTTTGGCTTTGTATTCGACACGAAAACCACACATTCCACATATTCTTTCTCTATCAATCACACTCAAAGCCCTCGCAACAAACATAAAATGAAGAAAATGAGAAAGAATATGAACACCATACACAAAGCACAAAGTGAAATGAGTACTAAAAATGCCTTTTAAATCATTTGTTGTGAATTCACATATTTTTACTGTTCAAACACACATGTGTGTAATGCGGACATTAGATATGTTCTTTTCTTCTCAACCACGGCGATGTAAAGAGAAAAAACGCCATACACACACGCTCATGTTTCACCAAGCATGTTTTCTATGAGTGAACTCAATTCTTGATTCACAGAGCGTCTGTCGATTTGGCTCTGTTCAGCGTTTGCCACTGCTGCCTTTTCTGTGTTTGTGTGCTTTTTTGCCGTCGTTGTTGTGCTTCGTATCTTCGTTTGTTCCGTGTTTTGTTTTGGGCTTTTAATTCTTTGTGCGCGAGCGCGAGCTCGTTTGCCTTGTCTTCTTTAGCCGACTTGTTCTCACTTTACGTTCTATTGACTTTGAGTGCGTGATTTGTAACGATGATCGAATGAATAAGTGTGTATATGTGTTAAGCACGTTGACCTACTTTTGATTCAACAGATGAGCTGATTGTTGTTCGTTCTTTCTCGCTTTCGGTATGTGTGCTGGCTTGTAAAGTACTGACGCCGTTGTCGACGCCGTTAATGCTGCTGTGACGCTGCTGCCACTGTTGTTGGTGTGGTTGCTGCTTTTTTCGGTTTTACAGAACGCGCGCGCGTACAACCAGCACTCATCACAACACAAAAGCACGATATATCATGCTCAATTCCATTCGAACATATGCGAGCTCATATCGCATTTCCTTCTCTCTGTTTTTTCGCTTCTAATTTGTTAAACATTTGATTTAGTTTTTAAATGCACGAGAATTAGAAAATGAGAACTGTTTGTTTTTGTTCCGCTTTTGGGAAAAAATGGAAAACTTTCCAGCCAAGCGCAGAAAAATAGCTGAAGAGAATAATGAAGAAAAATGCTAATATATCTATCTTCCCAATCAGATCATAAT